CGCACTTATTCTTCCACTAAGAGCTACCATTTATTGAGCACTAACTGTGTGTCAGGCCCTAGGCTAAGCAGTTACATACATTATTTGATATAATCCTCAAAACCCAAGATTATAAGGTATTATCTCAATTACACATAAGGAAACTGGCCACAACTAGTTAGTGGCATAGTCAGGCGTTTGCATCCAGAGCTGCCTGAGCCAAAAGTTTGAGCTCCAGAGGGAATGATCCGTGAGCAGTAAGGGAGCTGGAGAAATGGGATGGGGACTGGAACAAGGTGCAGAATTTCTGTTTATTCCGAGGCCCTGCTGGAGTGGGCTGGGGGCGGCACAGCTAGAGGTGTGCCCACTTCCAGGGCCTGCTGCCTCCAAGCTGCTGCTCTCTCCAGTCAGGCAAGGCCTCCTGAAGCTCCACCTGGAGCCTCAAATTTTTCCCACCCACCTGAGTGTCTGGGGCACCGCCCGCCCATCAGAGGAGCTGAGCCTGGGCGAGCCCTCACACAGATCCTACTCAGACTGTGCCCCTGCTAGAGGAAGGGGAGAGGACAGCTGTGGGGTCCTGCTGGGTGGGAGTGCTCGACTCCCCCGCTACCCTGGGCTGAGGGGCTCCGGTGTGAGAGTAATGACAGAATGACAGGCCAGTCCAAGAAGAGAGTTGAAAACAAGATTGACGTAACCCTTTATTGCAAATTCTAAAGTAAAAAGATGTACAGTACAAAGTAAAATTGAAATTTCAGACTATAAACTTCCGATCCTCTTATACATTCTCATTTCTCAAGCATTTCTGCCATTTCCGCATAAACGGAACAGGGAACAAGTCGAGGGGGTGAGGGAAGGAGATACAGCAAGGGAGCAAAATTAAGTATCTGGAATAATCACAAACCCCAGAAGCAAGTGAAAGGGAAAGACATTTTCTCGACCTGCTGTCCTGGTGATGAGAAGCGGGGGTGGTTGGAGCAGTGCAGTTTAAAATGGCTCTCAGAATAGCAGCATTTATGGTACCATTTCATCTTCCATAAGTCCAAATAATACTTTGCCCTTCCCTAGTGCCTTTGCCTCTGTATCTCAAAAACACTTTACAAAACATTTAGTTAAAGCCTCACAACACCCCTGTGAGGTAGGTCAGTATTATTATCCCCATTTTACAGATGGGGAAACTGAGGCACAGAGAGGTTAAGTGACTTGCCCAAGGCCACACAGCGAGTCAGTGGTCGAGCTGGGGATGGAACACAGGAGTTCTGTCCCTTTTCTGGAACCACTGGACCACGCTCCCCTTTACCTATATACATTCTTCACACACACACACACACCACACGTGCACACCCGCCCACCCCACCCCACTTAGCCTCTATGTACAGCAAACAGCAGTGGGGGGCAGGGGTAGGGGTGCCTCAGGAGTGTTTTGACGGAGGAAATCTTGGTGCTCTTGGAAGGGGAATCCAAGAAAGCACAATGCTGAGCCACAGCACAGACTGTGCAAACCTCGGGCCCCTCCCAACCCAGACTTCTTCTTCTCTCCTGACGTCCCCCTGGCTGGCTAGTTGCAGCCGATTCTTTAGGGGGTGGGGGTACCTGAAAATGAACGAAGCTTTTTGCAAAACTTTGGGCAACATCTGAGAAAATAAAGAGGCATCGTCACAGAAGATGCCCAAGACTCAAGTCACAAAGTCATAACCCATATGGCGATCTCACCTCCACAGCAGGCCTGGAGGCGGGGCGGGGGGGGGGGATGGAGACTGACCTACCAGCCATCTCTCTCCAGAGTGGAGCTACTGGAGCGGACTAGAGTGGGCACTTCAGAACCCTCCTGAGTGTTCCTGGGCTGGGAGACACGGCCTAGAGAGGGATGTCCCCAAAGCTGGGCAGGGTGAGGGAAGGGGAGGGCGCCCCCCTTCCCTGCCGAATGCGAATGAGAGCAGCCCTAGTCCGCTGGTTCGTCCCTGGGGCTGATGGAGGGCAAGGCCCAGCATTAGCTAGCAGAGGGGAGGCGCTGGGCATCGTGCTCGCCCGAGCTTTGGGGCGTTGGGATGGTTTTTTTCCTTAAAAAACGTGAAAAAGGCAGAAGGCAGGCCAGCCCAGCTGGGCTGGCTGACAGCCTCTCTGGGGGCTCTGCTGGGGGGACTGATGAGGAAGGGGTTTCATGGGCCTTGAAGCACTGGCCCAGTAGTGGGAGGAATGCCACATGCAATGGGTGACTGGGGATCTGGGTGGGGGGGACGGACAGGACCTTGCTTTTCTCTCCAATCCCTACTTTTTAGCCAGAACTTTGCAGGAAACCCTCTGATTTCTCTCCCTTCCATTCCCCCTCCTTTCCCCAAATGTGCTGAAGTCCCAATTCCCAGACCCCTCCCAGGAATCAAAAATTGGGAGAGTCAAGCAACAAACGCACACCAAGACAGGCTTCCCTTGTACAGTAAAAAGGGTCATTTTTATTTTGTTTCCTTTTGGCTTATAGTAGTGATGTACTTTTTATCACGTCTCGTTTAGAGCAGTGCTGGCCTCCATGCGTTCACTAATACACTAGTCTTCACTATTGGTCTTTTACAAGCTTACATTGGTTGCGGCGAAAAAGAAAAGAACTCTGGGCACTGTCGTTCCAGGGGCTTTGACTGGGAGTTTCTGTTAATCTCTCCTCAGTCAACTTCTGATGCCAAGAGTGGCTCATTCGGAGAGGGATGGGAGCAGGTCCGCTGACTTGGGAAGTTTATCCTGCGCTCGCCCTCTGCTTTAAATTACGGAGTCTCCTCATCCTAAGCAACGTGGAGGTTAAGGAAAGAAGAGGGGAAAGTGTTTTTCACACACAAACCAGCAACCGTGTCAGCTGCTGCTCAGTGGCTTTGGCTCTGCGTTTTAAATTAACAGCATCACACGTCTTTTTGCTTTTTGTCCTTTTTTAAAGGTGGATTGTGGAGTATAAATACTGCACCAAGGACCTGGCTACAAAAAATAAATATTTATATTGTATTTATATATCTATATATATATATGTGCAGTGATACTGTGGCTGCCGCTGCTTTTTGATTGGCTTCGTTAATATTTGGCAAAGCGTTGCCACTGACCCACTCGGTGAAGACGTACAAGAACGTCATCACTGACTCTTTGAGTTCAATGCCTGTTAACTGCGGGTGTAAACTGCTGGTGATGGTGTCACTTACTACCAAAGAAGTGTGGAGCAGGGCGGGAGAGGGTGAGAGTGCGTGAGCGAGTGGGTGGGTAGAGGGGCGATGGGTGAGGGGAAAGAAGGTGGGAAAAGTTAAAAAAAAAAAAGTGAAACTTCAAATAGAGTGGAGGTGGCTTCTTCCCTATGAAGGTGGCCGATGGGTGTCAGATACCAAGGCCCGTGTGTGTCACTGAGGAGATAACCCGCTGGGTGGGGACCAGGGTCTGGGGGAGGAAAAGGGTCAGAGCTCAGAAAAATCTCATTAATATGCTCTAGTAGCTTAATGACATCACTAGCATGAGCACTTAGAGGACGGAGCGGGATCTTATAGTTCTGTTGCCCATCTCAAGACCTAAGAACAAGAACGATTATGAAGTTTAGCCAAATCTTGCATAGAAGTGGTTAGAATTTATTGCACATTGGAACAAAAATATATATATTTTTTGTTGTTTTGGAAAAGACCATTAGCAATAAAAAATTTTTTGTCTGTCTGTCTGGTTTGGGGATGTACATTGGCTGACAGCATCTAAGTTCTAAGAAGAAAGAAAAGTATAAAAAATAAAAATAAACATGACAATGGCATAAGCCAGAAGCCATTTCCTATTTAATAAGTTAATAATTTGTATTTACAAAAAGGCATGCCAATAAAATAAAATGATATATTACAGTATTTATAATTCTCTTAAAAAGAATAACCACACGTCAGCTTGTTTTGTGCTGTTTACGATGTAGCCTGTACACGTTACTATACATCCATCCTAGCAGTTAGCAGGGTCACCGAGAAAAACGCCTTCCCAACCTGGTTATCAGGCGTAGTACAAAAAGTACTACGGATGGTGCCGCAGAAGCAGGCTTATGAAAGCTGGACAGAGTTTCTAATGGTCCGACAAGATAGAAAGCTCTGCTTACTGACTTGCTGTGGTTTGTTCTACGCAAACCTAGTCAGGTGGACTGTGAAATGACATCCAAAGTGCTTCTACTGCAAGGCAGATTGGTGTGTCTGATTGTGGGTTTTCTCCCTCCATTCTATGGTTCAGGAAGAATTTATTTTGATTTGGTTTGCATGCTGAAGTCTCTCCTCACTCTTTGTATCGACTTCCTGACACATTCAACTGCAGCATCTTAGCTCTGAAATCGAGTCATCAGATGAGAAACCCCTGGACTAAAAACTGTCTTCCCTGAAGCGGGAGACAGACGGAAGCTATGACACTCCCCCGCAAAGCCACCCTCCAATGACAATGGGCAGGTCCCTAAGCAGATGGCAAAACTGGCCGAAAGAACGTGCTGGGGGAAGCTGGAACTTCTTAAGAATTCATATTAAGTCGCTTTCTCGTGAGAACCAATGCAGTAAAGAAACCAAGTGGGCTGGGTTCAGAGGCGGCCCCATCTCTACTGAGGTCCCACCAGTGACTATTCTAATAATAAATGAAAGAAAGCACAGCTGTAGCTCCAGTGCTGTGGCCCTCACCCACCTCTGTGGGTAAAGGAAGCCCTGCTTGGTGGAAAAATGTGACGGAGGCAAGAGGAACCGTGCAGTGTGTCAGCTTGTGACAACCCCTCTGTAGAAGAGAGGCCTGTTCAGAATATCTGAACCCCTCTCCACATGAACCCAAGCCCAGAGAAAGCCACGATGCAGAAGGACGTGATACTGATGAAGTGAGCACCCCTTTACCCCCAACGAAAGGTTGTTTTAAGTTCCCCCAAATGACCCTCTAGAGATACCATGCTACTTTGAATAGCACTTTTATCTCTACCCCCAAAAAAGTCAGTTCTCCAGTATGAAGGCTAAACAATCATCATAAATATTGCAAGATAGAAATGAAAAAAATTTTTTTGATTTTTGTTTTTAGCCCTAGGATTTGGTTTTACAGTGACGTTAATACAAGCCATTTGAGATCAAAATCTCCCCATGTATGGGACACGGAGAGCAGCATTAAATAGTTCATCTTTCAAAATGTGCAACAATGGCTGTATGTTAGAGATGTCTGTTAAACATATACACACAACGGATCCATCTGCTTGTTGGACTGGGTTTGTTTTTTGTTGGTGGTGGTAGTCAATTGGTTGGTTATGTTTCCCTACCCGGAAGGTGTACGAAAGACTTCTAAGAATTCAGAAAGAATTGCAGCGGGTATGGAACGCTTACCATTTTTTTCCTCCAAATACAGTGAACGGTGCAGGGCTGGGTCCTGTCCAAAGGCTGACCCAGTGCAGGGGACAGGATTAGTAGTGTCCTGTGGTGTATGGTTCTCATGCATGACTTCTGATCACGGCATGCCATCATGCAAATCATTTCTACGCATTGAACGAGCACAATGTTTGGAATTGGCCTGAGCAAGTCCTCCTCAGCCTGAAGAAACCTGATTGTTTTCCCCCACCCATCTCCAAACCACGTGAAGCCCATGTGGAGAAGATGCGGCTTATGTCAAAGAAACTGACAATTAAATGACATGGGCTAAATGTGAGTGTGTGTGTTTTTTTCTTTTTGCTGCTTAGCCTAACTAACGTAAGAATGCAAATAGAGTTTGCATGAACAAACAAACTTTTAAATTGATGCTTTCTGCTTCTGAGAATCAACAGAATGAAAAAATAAAATCCATTTGGCTGCAACGGAAATACACTGGTCCCGGCAGCCTCGCCTCTGTTTTTGTATCCTGTTAGTTTTGTCCTAAGTTGCATTGACTGATGTGGAACATGCAGTAACCACCTGCCCAAGCATTAGAAAAATCTGTGAGTCCAGGGAGCAGGGTCCTTTGCCCTTGGCAGGTCACTGCTCAAGATGCAACCGTGTTACATGGTAAGCAGACTACGTTTGGTATAGATCTTCGGGTTAAAGTGTCTCCACAGCTGTTCTGCATTGATAATATTCAGGAAGTTTGTAAACAATCTTTCACTTGCGAGTTTTAAATCTGTACAGTGTTTAGTTTTTGCTTCCCTCTAACACTTGGATTCTCTGACCTCTTTTTGTCTTCTGGCTCTTTCCCTTCTTCCTTCCTCTGCCCGTTGCTGTTTCTCCTTCTCGGGTTTAGTTACACTGTCATAGGATGGGAGGGAGGCTGTAGACGGGGTGCTCTCTTTCTTCTCCCGGTGGGCGCCTCCATTCTCCAGCTTATTGGAAGTTGTCTTTTTGCAAACGAAGCCCCGCCTTGCTAAATGTCCCCGGTAGGCGCGCTGCAGGACCACCGCTGACACCTCTTCCTGCTTGCGCCGCAGCGTGGTCGTGATTGGCTCGTAAGACATTTTGGAAGGATTGGATGCCACGAACCTCTCCTCCATCTGCTGCCGGAGGATGTCCAACTCTCCGCTATCTCCCAGGACCCGCTTGGTGAAGGCAAAAAGGATGTCCAAGCAGTGGATGCGATCCCCGCTGACCATTGGCAGATCCATGGCGATGAGCTCGATGGTGTTGGGCTTGGGCACCCGCAGAGGATGCTCCAAGGCGTCTGCAAAGTCTGCCAGCTTACTGTACTCGATGAACTGGGTGGCATCGGGGTCGAACTTCTCCCAGATCTCGTAGAAGGTCTCAAAGTCATCCTCACTCAGAGGGTCTGCACTTTCCTCCGTGGCTACGCTGAAGTTCTCCAAGATGATGGCAATGTACATGTTCACCACGATCAGGAAGGAGATGATGATGTAGCTCACAAAGAAGAAGATGCCCACCGAGGGGTTCCCGCAGTCTCCTTTAAAGCCACTCCCTGGGTGTTCCTTATCCAGACTGCAGTCGGGGGGGCGGTTTAGGATGGGCAGCAGCAGGCCATCCCAGCCGGCCGAGGTTGTGATCTGAAATAGGCAGATCATGCTGTTGCCAAACGTCTCAAAGTTGAACATGTCATCAATGCCAGCCTCGTGCTTTACATACGCAAAATTGGACATCCCAAAGATGGAGAAGATGAACATGACCAGGAAGAGCAGAAGGCCGATGTTGAACAGAGCAGGCAAGGACATCATTAAGGCAAAGAGCAGGGTACGAATCCCCTTGGCGCCTTTGATCAGACGCAAGATGCGCCCAATACGGGCCAATCGGATGACTCGGAATAGGGTTGGGGAAACAAAGTATTTCTCAATTATGTCAGCCAGGAACATTCCTAAGAAGAGGAACAGAAGATGTGTTACTGAGCCCGGAGATGCCCTTTCTCTTTACGTATGTCGCCTGGCACTATGGAACCCTTAGCTTCAAAGGACTTTATAGAATGAGTGCCTTGCTATTCAATCTGAACCCTCACAATAAAAAACTTTCTCAAAAGAAAATCGCATGTCTCAAACATATAGAGAAGCCGAGAAAACAAGAAAATGGACACCTAGGTACCTGACACCCAGATACAAAACTTCCTTCCACTCATCACCCCCAGAAGCGACCACTATCCTGCAGATGACATGTCTCACCCCAGTGTCTTCATAATTTTGCTATGTACGAACCCATAAATAATATATAGGTAGCAGCCTACTCTGTTTAAGGAATTATACCGTATCTCTCTTTCTAGATCTCTAACTTGCTTTTGAGACGTAACATTATGTTTGTGAGATTGATCTCTGGTGTTAAATTCGTTTTTTTTTTTTTTCAGATTTGTCCGTGCATAACTTTCTGAGGTGTTATGGCTTCTTCTCCAAAATGCTATCAAATTACCACATCCACAAACAGTGAATGAGAAGTCCTGGCTCCGCCCCGTAACTTCACTACCCAATGGCTGTGAAGCCTTAGTCCGCTAATGCCGCTAATTCTCAGGGCATCTTCTTCCTGGCTCTGAAAAGATATTTTTGGTTCTCATTGCCCCATGTTCCTACCTTACCAAACTAGCCTACAAACTAAAGGGACCTCTCGGGAGTAGTTTTCAACTCAAGAGCTTCTAGATTTTTGTGTTTAAAGCCATCCATCAAAACCCAGTATCACCAGGTAAAAATGTCCAGACGTTAATAGGATATAAAAGTAGAGGGTGGGGCTTCCCTGGTGGCACAGTGGTTGAGAGTCCACCTGCCGATGCAGGGGACGCGGGTTCGTGTCCCGGTCCGGGAGGATCCCGCATGCCGCGGAGCGGCTGGGCCCGTGAGCCATGGCCGCTGGGCCTGCGCGTCCGGAGCCTGTGCTCCGCAACGGGAGAGGCCACAGCAGTGAGAGGCCCGGGTACCGCAAAAAAAACAAAAACAAAAGTAGAGGGTGAAACACGCACATCAGAGGGCCTTTTTCTGTTTACATTCATCCAGGGGTCCACTTCCACCAGACCACTTGCCTTTAAAACTAAAGAGCGATAACGGGAGCCCAGTGAGGGGCCGCAGAAGGAAGAGGAGATGAAAAGGTTGGGAGATGACAGCTGAAGGCATGGCAGTGACACCACGTGCTCTTCCTTCAGGGTCTTCTCTTGCTGTCGAGGCCCCCACAAGACAGTGTGAGCACATCTTCATTTAAATAAAGAAATATCTTCCAACCATAAGGATTCATAAATATTGGGGTAGTGAACTGCAGGTTTTAAGGTTTTAAGCTATGAATCTTAACTTTCAGCTTTCAAGAAAATCTCTGCCTCAGCCAGGACTCAAGATGATTTCTCAGCTCTCCTCTTTTTACTTCTCAATTAAGTCATAACCAGTGACCACAAGAAGTCAGGTAATGTACGTAATACTTGCATTCCGTACATGGTGGGCAACTAAGGCTTCAGAGAGGAGATGATGCCTCAGTAAGGTTCTGTAGGATGAATGTGTATTTGTGCCCAGAGAAAAGGGGAGAGAGATGGGCAGACAGCAATCCAGGCAGTGGGATCAACATTTAAGGGGTCCTCCAGGAGGTTCCAGGGAGAGTTTTACCCAAACTCCTCTTAAATTAAAAAGATTTTTTTCTAGCTTTTGTTTCTGAACAGATTAATGACATTTAAAAAAATCCCAATTATCAGAAGAAACTCTTCTTCCTCCTTATTTTCAAGTACCATCTGAGAATAGGGGGCATGGTTTCCTCTGTGGGTTTTCCATCCCACTTAGTGATGGGTGGGCAGAAAAAGTTTAAGAAACGTGGACAAGGGTAGCATGGTCCAAAGTGTGTTTTGTGGGAGGTTAGGAGTGTGGAGCTGAGGCCAGGGGGCTGGGCTTGCTCGCTTACCAGTTGCATGTCTCAGTAACTGCTCTGTGCCTTTGTTCTTCATGGTACTTACAGGGCTGTTGTGAGGGTTACATGAATTAAAACATGTAAAGCACTTAGAATGGTGACCAGCACATAGTATGTTCCATTAAACTCTTAGAAACATTATTATTACTTGAAAACAGGGTGTTGTGATTGAGTAAAGGTGGGATGATGTATTAAACGGAATTCTTTACTCCAAGACTTTCAAGAGCCTCCTGTAGGCTAATGTGCCTTGTGACCCTCCAAAGGGAAATTCAACGTATTGTACAGTGTTGCCCAAAGTAATTTCATCATGGGATTCTTTTCTTGGGGAGAAATGTATGAGATCAGTCAACACATTTTTGGACACGCTGCTCTGGAGGACAGAACTAGAAAGTGGGAGCGTAGCTGCCTTCTCGTGGCCGTGGTCACCACCTTGCTAAACCAGCTCTGGAGCTGGTTCCCTGGGTCTCGGGCACTCTACCCCTGCTAGCGTCAGTCAGTCAAACCCACCTGGAACCAAGGTAGTGTTTCACCATTCGAGATGCCTTTTAGGAAGGCAAGGAAATTTGGGGGAGGGCGATCAATAGGACAGCATTTCCACTGCCTGCCAGGACATGAGCCCTTCCAGGCCCTTAGGCTGAAGCAAATGCCACACAGTCACTGTTAAAAACCAGCTTGAGTTCTGCCTCTGCCACCTCCTAACTGAGTGACCCTGAACATCTTCACAGCAAAGATAGTAACATACCTTGCTTCCTGGGCTGTCATAAGGATCAAATGAGACAACACAAGTGAAGAAACTCTCCAACTACTTGGCACCATAAAATCTTAGTAAATGAGCATTGCCATCAGCAGAAGTGCTGCCACCACCAGAACGTTCCTCATTAATGTCCAACTTAAGAATCTCTTACCAGGCCTTTTTCCACTTTATACTGCTACTGTAGCCAGATTTTAAAATATATTTCTTTTACCTTACCTCTTAGAATGTAAACTCTTTGAAAGCAAGAACCAAATCTAATCTTTTCCCCCTCTTCAGCCACAAAATTTACAACCCGAGACTACTATGAAGACTCATAGAAACTTGCTGACCCATATCAGGGATTTGGGGCGGGCCCACAAGTTGACTTGGGGGCCGCCCGCCCTGGGCGTAACCTGAGAGTAACCCGCCCACCCTTCAGCCCTGTGTCATTCGTTGCACTCCCCGGAATCCCATCCTCAGGGCCAGTCAGGTCCCTTTCCCGTCCTCGCCTGCCCCACTCACCCACAATGGAGAGGATGACCACCACGAAGTCGAAGATGTTCCAGCCAATGGTGAAGTAGTAGTGCCTCAAGGCAAACATTTTGAGCACACACTCACAGGTGAAGAAGATGACAAAGACCAGGTTAATCCAGTAGAGAATGTTCTCCATCTGCTTGCTCTGAGTATCTGTCTCCACCATCATTGTCACCATGTTAAGGCAGATGAGCATCATGATAACAATGTCAAAGGCTTGTTGAGTGACAAAATCAAAGACGATACCTTGGATTTTGTTCTGGGTGGGGAGGGAGGGAGGAAGACAGAAGAGGCTTCATGAAAACCTTCCCCAGCAGACTGTGGGAGCTGCCACCCTGTTTTCTTTGCTGGAATACTGGCCAGCTCTCTGCTGCTGCTCTGTCAGGGTATCAGGAGCATGGCTAAAGACCAAGGTCAACATTCCCTCACCAAGAGTTTTCTAAAACTGCCACTCTTCTCTTTGTGGCTGTGCCATCACACGTTTCTGGGTGTCTTCCCACCTCTCCAGCTGCTCCTTCTTAGTCTCATTTGCTGGCCATTTCTTCTCTTAATCTCTTCTTCCTGCCTTGGAGAGCTCATCTACCATCTATTCCTACTGCTCACATATTATCTAGGTACTTCAGTTTCCCAAGTGTTTTCTTCTCCAGCCTGTATCTTTCCTCTGAACTCCTGGGTTGCTTGTTTGATATCGCTCCTGGATGACGCATAAGCATCTAAAAGCTCAGCAAGTCCAAAGCAAGTCCTCTGCCCCTCTCCCAACTCGCTCTTCTCTCACCGCAATTATTTATCCAGTCTCTAAGCCAGAAATCTGAGGGTCATTCCCGCTCACCCCTCTCCCTCATCCCCCATCGAATCCACTGCAGGTCCTGTGGAGTCTTCCTTGAATTCAGCCACTTCATTCCATTTCTGTGACCCTCCTCTAACTAAGCCACCAGCATCTTCCCTTTTGGACTTCTAGAAGGGTCTCCCGACTGGTCTTCCTGCTTCCTCTCTTGCCCTCATCCAATGCAGTCTCCACAAAGCAGCAAGTGTGATTATTTAAAAACATAAATGGTTCACATCACTCTCCTACTTAAAATCTCTCACTAGCTTCTCACTGGACTTGCAACAAAACGCCTATGGTTGACTGACTTAAAAATGCCTTTCAGGGCTTCCCTGGTGGCGCAGTGGTTGAGAGTCCGCCTGCCGACGCAGGGGATGCGGGTTCGTGCCCCGGTCCGGGAAGATCCCACATGCCGCGGAGCAGCTGGGCCCGTGAGCCATGGCCGCTGAGCCTGCGCGTCCGGAGCCTGTGCTCCGCAGCGGGAGAGGCCACGGCAGTGACCTGGCCGCACAAATGTTTCCTGCTTTTAGGGCCTCATTTGCTTTCCCAGGATTCCTTTCCCCAGCCTTCTGCCTCCTTCTCAGACACTCAAATAGACCCGCCCTAATGAGGCTTCTCCCACGACTCCGTTAAAGGAGACCCCCCAGCCCAGGCCTCCATATACTCTGTCATGGCCCTTCAGTTGATTTTTTTCTCACAACACTCTGCATTTTATTTATTTATTTATTTATTTGATGTGGACCATTTTTAAAGTCTTTATTGAATTTGTTACAACAGTGCTCCTGTTTTTTTTTTTTTTACGTTTCTGGTTTTTTGGCAGCGAGGCACGTGGGATCTTAGCTCCCCGACCAGGGATTGAACCCGCACCCCCTGCATTGAAAGGCAAAGTCTTAACCACTGGACCGCCAGGGAAGTCCTTGCATTTTATAATAACTGTTCTCTTACTTATTATCTGTATCCCCACTACACTGTAAGCGCCATGATTGCGTTGTCTAAATTTGCTCATCACTTTTTGCCTAGTGCCTGGTACACAGTAGGAGATCTGTAACTATTTGCGGAATAAGTCTTTATTAATGCTTCCTACCACACTGAGCGTTTATATTTTAGTGTGGAAGAAAATACGCTCAGGTTCCCACGTGCAAAGTACTGAACAGAACTTTAGAAATGGCAATCCCCTTGCATTCCCTCTGATCGCATTTCTGTCACAAAGTGGAAACTACCATCAAGGAAATATAAAAAATGTTCTCTTTCTTAAGATCTCCCTGATTTTTTAGATACCTAGGCACTTGAGCTCATGCTTATTTTCAGGATTACTTAACCTGGTGGGTTTCAAACTGTTCCGCAAAGCCCTAGGGTTTCCTCTCCCTCAGAAGTTGGTGAGGGGGGTATGCCAGGAACAGGGTGTGTGGGGTTAAGTCAGGAAGATGCTCTGGGACTCCCACTCTTGATTCAAAGAAAGTAGCTTCACTTTCATTTTTATACATTAGGTTGCCAGGTAAGCTTTTAAGAGTTCCGCTGTGTTGTTGTTTTAAATAAAAAGTTACTCTATTTATTTATGGCCACGCCGCATGGCTTGTGGGATCTTAGTTCCCCAACCGTGGATCGAACCCGGGCCCCCGGCAGTGGTAGCACGGAGTCCTAACCATTGGACCGCCAGGGAATTCCCTAAAAAGTTACTTTAAATAAAAGTTCCAGAAGAGGGAACTTTGAGTGTGGCTTTTGGGGGTCATGTCCCACTCAGCGGGCTGTGTGGCTTCCGGAGCACAGCGTCTCCTCTGAAGCGAGAGAACCACCACCAACACGGGGTCAAGCAGAATCCCAGTCCCCAAGTCTGTTTTACAAAAGGCTCAGTTCAAGGGAGGAAGTCAGGCCACAGACTCTCCCAGCTTCACCCTCTCCTGCTCCCACAGATAACCGGGAAGAGGCTTAGCTTTCAGGCACACCCTTGCAAAGACTGACTTGTTAAGCAGAGGGCTGAGAAAATAATGACCAAATCCTATCTTGTACTGGTAGGAAAGAGATCAGCTTTCATTTCACTTTCCTTTGTTCATTTTTAGTGGGTCTCTTAAAACATCTCTCTACCAGGGTCACAGCCAATGTGGTCAACATGCCGATTCTCTGCTGCTGCCCAAGGACGCCTCAGAGGAAAGGTCAGGTGCAAATGCAAAAGCCACCCCATACCTTAACTCCTGTTCTTCTGCCGTCTTCCTCAGATCCCTGCTTGCAGGATCTCAGTTCCCCGACCGGGGATTGAACCTGGGCCCTCGGCAGTGAAAGCACAGAGTCCTAACCACTGGATGGCCAGCGAATTCCCTTCCTCCGATCTTTTGGATGGGACAGCAAGGAGAGGATTGGAGGGCCCAGGCCGCCCATCATTTGCCCCTTTCCTCCCTCTGCAGTAACTCTAGCCGTGTCTTTTTCCACACGGGGCCTCGCTCTGCCCTGGGCCCACACGATGCACTCACCAGGGGGCGGGGGATGGGTTTCTGTGGTTTCTTTGAGCCCAGCTTTTTCATGGCATTGTAGTACTTCTTCTGTTCTTCGGTCATGAAGATGTCTTGACCTCCAAAGTAAAGGAGGGAAAGAGAGAACGTGCAATTACAACTGGCTTTCACATGCTACAAGTTTGGACCTAAGGTGCAACCCTGAGAACCGAGGGGGCTTTACCCCCTTTACTTTCCAGAGGTCAGTTTAGCTAATGGTCGTCCCAGAGGGAGGTAGACCTGGGACAACTAATCTAACTCAAAGAGATACCTTTGTTCTCAGCTTGGGATTTCTGAGACCTGCTAGGGGCTAGGAAGGAAAGAAGGAAGGAACTGGAGTAACAGACCTCCAGGGAAGGATAAACTTGAGAGCCATGACTCTAAACACATCTTCGTAAATTTTGGGGGGGCCTGCTTTCCTTCTCAAAAAAGCATTTTAAAATGAAAGAATTTTCAAGTCCTGGCTAATGGCCCATTTATTTCCGACAATATTAAAAATTTAGAAATCTTGGTGGGAGCAAACAATTTGGGAAGTTCCTTGGAGTTTGTTGGGACAGGCTCGATTTATAAAATGAATGACAAGAGTAATCTTATTTGCTTTGGAAAAATTGTTAACGACCTGGGACAAGTAAAGGAGGTGAGCTTTCCCAGGTTGATCTCTCAAATCCCAATGTGCTGGTGGTACCAGGGATTAGCACAGATAATGACAGGTCGAGACAATTTCTGCTTCTCACTAAAGCTATTCATCTGCTGCTTTCCTTTTCAGCTGTCACTAGACCCTCTCTGACCCTACCTCCCTCTGGTGGGAGGCCAAACCTAGTAAAAAGCCTCCGGAATTGCTAGTAAATTTGGTACCAGTAAATTGCTAGTCTAGTAAATGTGGTAAACCACACACTGCAAAATCCAGCAGAACACAACGGGCTGGTTGGGACTAATGTACAGTGGGGCCAGTGCCACAGCGAGGTGATGATGTGGTTTTAGAGAAAGAGAGGCACTTCTCTCTAGAGAGAGGGACAGAAGTGCCTCTCATCTGGGATGACCTCCGGCTGCTGGCAATGTGGGGAGGAGACCTATCTTTTTCTTTTGTTGATTGAAGTTATCAATGATGACACCGATGAACAGGTTCAGGGTGAAGAAGGAGCCGAAGATGATGAAGATGACGAAGTAGATGTACATGTAGATGTTGTCCTCATACTTAGGCTGCTCATCAGGCTGTCAAGGGACAGGAGAAAGAAAGAGAGTCAGCTCCTAGCTTGGGGGTCAGGTGGGGGATTCCGACATGCCAAGGCCGTCAGCCCCGCTGACTGCTTGAGCTGCTGAGCCAGCTGGGGTAGGGGAGCCCGAGGTTCTCTCTGCCTGTCTCCTTCTGCACGCTGGCAGGTCCTGCCCTGAGAAGGCATGTTATGCCTTCCATGACGTGTGTGGAGAATATGCAAATCGTGAGGCGAGGGGGAGGGGAGGGCTGTCTGCTAGGAGCCACACTTATTTCAGATCAGCACTGAAGAGCAGACAGCTCCATTAGGGCCAGGTGAAAACCAGGAGCCTAGCCACCTGGAGCCGCTGTAAGAGAGTGGTGACTCACTGCGGGGGGGGAAAGTGACCTACAATCAGCGAGACAGGCAAAAAATGTTCTAACCTTCCCTCTCTTTCTGGATGAGCTCCACCATGCTGCTTGCTTTCTAACCAGTTAAGAAGGTCGTGGTTTCACCAGGTATAACCTTACCTTTCGGGAATCTACAGCTGCATACATGATGTCCATCCAGCCTTTGAAGGTTGCCTGGCAAACAGAGTCAGTCATTAGACTGTGCCTGTTAGGGGGTGGGTGGGAGTCTGGGCAGAGGGTCCCAAAGGCAGGCTTAGGTTCAGCGAGAACACAAGTCAGGGAGTTTGGGTGCAGCCTCACGTGGACACAGAATTTTCTGTTTGTTAATACAGGTCCCAAGGGAGCTTTGTATAAGCCCTGAATATAACATCAAAGATTGGCAGAGAAACATGTTGACAGTGGTAACTGGATCAATACTTTTACAAAAGGTCTTTAAAATGGGTCTGAGAAGGTCGCCTGAAGCTAGGGCAAACTCATATTTATGAGTGGCAGGAATCTACCGAGTTTACTTAGAACTTACCCCCTCCATGAAGGAGTCATATTTTAAAAAGATGTTAAACAAGCAATGGGGGGGGGGTCTGAAAATTAATAGTTGCATTAAAAAAAAACAAGGTCAGAACTTTCCCCCTACTAGGATACACATGTTTAGCCTATGGTAGTGGCAACAGTGGCTTCGTCCTAGGCAGCCCCTTCCCAATTCTCCCACTATACCTAACCTGATTTTGGAAACTAATACGGGTAACCAGTTTAACAGTCTCCATGTCTTCTTTTCATTCTATGTTTTATTTACTCAACCAGATTCTCAGTTTTTTCAGGGCCTGGGCAGTTCTTTATTCATCTGATGGCTCTGGTACTGCCCAAGCACAGTGCCTTGCATGTGGTGGGGACTCAATACAGTGTTTGGCTGGCTGACGTGCACTGGTTTCCTGGAGCTGCTCCAATTTAGGTTCAATCTGGGGGTCCAATTTCTTGAACTGGGAGAGAAGAGCTAAAGAGCTCTGGAGTGGGATAAACCACTGCTCATCCCATTCATTCCTACAAGCTAACGGTAAGTGCTTACTATACGCAAGGCCGAGTTGAGAGCTCCACCTGCATTTTCACATTTACTACTCCCAACAACTCTACAACATAGGGACAGTTGTAATAGTAACAAAGAAACATAATAGCGAATACCATTAATTAAGCACTGCTATGTGCCAGGCATTGTGCTAAGAAATGTTAATAAATTATCATGAATCCTCTTAACTACCGTGCAAGGTATTATTACTCAAATTTAACAGATGAAGAAATAGACTCGGAGAGGTTTAGTAATTTGTCCAAGGTTACATATCCAATAAATACCAGTGTGGCTCAAACCTACATGTTTGAGTCCAAAGACTAGGAGCTTTCATTGTACTCTACCGTCTTGTCAGACTCTCCAAAAAATCAAGCAAAGAGGAAGAGAAAACTAGACACGATGGAATGCTTCATTGTTTACTGTGATACGTTAACTTGAGACCTTTCTCTGGGGTTGAGCTGACATGAGTAGCGGCATCACAGCACCGTCACATTGTCATATGTAGTTAACTCTAGTGTAGCTGTTATGTAGGATTGTTCTGCTCCATCAAATTTTTTTTTTTTTTTTTTTTGGTCTATGCACTTACCTACTCTATTTTTTTCTTTCTCTTTAACTACATACTCCGTCATGGAGAGAGATGGTGATCTCTCTGCAACTTTATTATGCTGCAGGAATCCTTATTTGTAGTCAAGCAGAACTCTGCTTCTGAGCACAGTGACAGATTCCCTTCGCTGAGGTTTTGGAGATGTCAGAGTACTCAGGCAAGGTGTCTCCCTGGAACTGGTGTGGGAAATGACATTGTCCCCTGACCTATTAACAGCGATCCCGATTCTGGACGCAGGGTTGAGAAGGAACCAAATGAGATTTCTGCTAGCCTTTTGGATTTCATAGGACGGAGAACGATCCTTACCACTTGAAGAAGCGCCAGATATCCTGCCCCGACGTTGTCAAAGTTGATCTTCACGTTCTTCCATCTGATTTCTGTATTGTTCCCCTCCATGAGCTTTTCACACTCAGTTTTATTGTTGACATCTTCAATTTCAAATCGGATTTCGGAAGACTCATTAAAGCAGTAGTGGTACTTTCCGGCAAACAGGTTAACGCCCATGATGCTGAAAATCAGCCAGAAGATGAGACACACCAGCAGCACATTCATGATGGAGGGGATGGCGCCCACCAAGGCATTCACCACCACCTGCGTTGGAAGGGGGAGGTTGCTGAGTGTTGGGAAGAAGTACAGGCACGCACGCTCTTTTGATTTCCAGGAGGGGAATGACATGACACTTTGTGGCTTGTTCTGACTATGGAAACGTTATGTTCCCTTTGGAATTAGGGTAACCAAACAGATCCATACGCAGGACCGAAATTTTGTATATCTATGAAATGTATTTTGAGGAATTCTAAAAATTACATATTTATTTCATTGAACACAAATTCCCCTGCCCAAGCTGACCTAGGTCTCTCTCCTAGGCATCAACCTGGGACCGAAAAAATTATTTCATTGTCTAGTGTCCCTTCCCATCAACTCATAAAATATGCCCCCCTTGGGAAAATCTGCATGATTTCAAGCTCACTAGTTGCCTTTCGACAGACATTCCCCCTCTGCAAAGCAAGGTGAGGTTGTTCAAAATCACAGAGAACTCCCCTGTGGGGTTAGCAGTGAATCGCTCAACGGTACATAAAGTCTCTTTTATGACTGTGCAAGGCCAGTTATCTTATTTCAGGCAAGAGCTGAGCATGCATTTTTTGCAGGCTCAAGGAAAAAAAAAAAAAAAGCTATATTCCCTCTACCAAACAGTATAAAATAAAATCTGAATGGTTGTGTTTTTCATGCAAGATTCATTATTCTTCTTCAGGCTTTTTTTTTTTTCCTGACTTTGCAGGCTTCTACATCTGAGTTGCCCTCTGCTTGGCTAATATGCTGGTGTCTCTCTGCTCAATCTGGGGTTTGACTCAACTCTTCACAATGTATTATTAGAAAAAGGAATAATTTGGGTTTTTTGGGAGAATTTTGGGTTAGATCACTGGTCTTGAAACCCCCAAACTGGCATATGGTTAAAAATCACTGACTACAGTAAGCTTGGGAGTGAAAAAAAGCCAAGGGCAAGGAGCTCCCTCAGAATGAAAGTTTCTGTGTTGTTTTTAACTTTGATTTTGCTTCACACTATAGACGAGAATAGCTAGACAACACTTCCACTGCGGCAGCAGTTTTCACTAGAAGAGTTCAGAGTGCTTTACAAAAGTAGCATGTCAGGTGGTGGGGCAGAAAACAAAGCTGGTGTTCATTTCTTCCCTGATTCTCACTGGCTGTTGTCTTAAGCAGGACTGCTAAGGCCCAGAAAGGTGACCCTAAAATGGGAAGCATGTTTCTTCCTTTTTCTAGTATCCTAGGAGGATAAGTGGAGTTAAAATAAAGACCCTGGATATAAACAAAGTCTTCTAATGTTTTGTTAGAAGGAGGTGACAAGCATCACCACCTTCCTCCATCCGCTTTTCAGTGCAGGGAAGAGAGAGGACACGCTGCCAACCGGCACAGCATGGAAACGGCCAAAAGGGCCGTGCTGTAGAAGGAACACCAGGGGGCAGCTCTGGGCTCTAATTTGAGCCCGACTTGGGACCAGGTTTTCCTTATCTTCTGTTTTGGCCTTAGATTGTAATGTCACTCATTGGAACACGTGGCTGGGAAGAGCGGTCTGTTCTGTCCTATATAGAAAAGGCAACGGTATTCTGCTAAGGAGTCCCTCTCCTTAGATTAAAATATTAGTTTTGTGTTTCTCCAATTCATGTATGAAGGCCTTTAGATTGAGAGGTAGTTATTTCCTAATTCTTAGACCAAGAAATCTCTTCTAGATGTAATAGCTCTGTCACTGGTATAAAATAATTATACTTCCATTGTTCATTACTTTGAGCAAGGAAAGCCAGAACACCTGAAATCTGGGAACTCCCCAACGTTACTGTGGAGAACGATACTCATATTATTAATTTATGTTACCAAATTTGTCAGGTGATCAGATATGAATTTTATCTCCTCTTTCTACAGTTGCCTACCCTTTGATGGGAGTACTTCAAGGCAATGAAATGTGCAAAAGAATAGGCAAAAGGAAGATGACCCACAAATGGAATGATTTGTTTCTCACAAGTTAAGGGAGTAGGTTATGTAAAGTTTCAAAAGCTCAAGTCTATGTGACAGCATTTTGCAGCAGCGCTCAGGTGAGAGAGCGTGACCTTCTACTAGACCATCACAAGTGTGCAATACAGAAGTTGGCCCCAAAAGATCTGAAACCTAGAAATCTTGCTTTTTATATCAATTCAGAGTATACCTCCTCTAGGAATTCTTCTGACTACCTTCACCTAGTCTAACCTGTCCTACATAGCGTCTGTGTGTTACAGTTAAATATGGGGTAATATTTCCAGCAGGGGAGAATAACTAGCTAATTGACTAAGAAATCTCTTTGCACTTTTAAACTCACAGATATGCTCAAAGGAATCAGTACACAAAAGCATTTACTGGGCCTCGTTCTCTGATATGACATAAAAATCCTATAAAATCCAATGTACTTGTGAGATGCAAATGTACTTTCACTTATAATGAAATGTACTTTCATTATAACCAAAAGAAGAACTTCTTAGCTTCATTTCATGAATAAAACAGTAAACAGCTGATGAACTTCACTGATAATTCTTCCTTGTTGTGAACATTAGCTAATATTCTCAGCAACCAAAGAGCAAGAAACCATGCTTTCTTATTTTGAACTCTTACACTATAGACATATATATAAATGATAATTTAAGTTTCCATGGACAGTTACATAATAAAGTGGATCTCCCCTTCTGCTCCCTAATAACTCGTTATTCTGTGTCACCTTTAATTATGAAATTCATTATTGTTAAAAGTTAGGTATAGAAATATCACTCAAAGCTAGCAACCTATGAAGTTACTTTTTGCAATGGAAGTTTGTATTTAGCAGTTGATAGAAATCTCATTTGATGAAAAAATTCCAATGGGTACTAATTCTTTCAGCATTTTTGTCTTCTCCCTAATGCCTAGAACGTTATTGCTCATTAAATACTATAAAATCTGTCAAATAGCTTTCAATATCTGGCAGAGGGAACATGGCTTTAATGGACAACTATATACTGACAATCAACAAAAATGCATGCATGTTTCACAGCATTACTATTCTGTACCCTCAAAAGTTTAACGGCACAGCAAAATCCTTAAATGAAGATTACTATGGAGGAGAGAAAAGCAAAGAACTACATTCAGCATTCCTTTGCCGACAGCATGAGTGTTTCAGTGTTCTGGTCTTTGGTTTGAGGAAGAGACTGAAGCCAGTGTCCCAGGACAGGCTAGGGCCTTATGTTCCCTCTCGAGCGAAGGTCTGAACCTCTCACCAGAGCAGCACAGTGACAGTTGAGCCCATCTGCATTGATGGTATTCAGTTCATAAAGATGTCTTGTTTAAAATTTTCTAAGGGGATAATCTCTTAGATTATGCAAGTGTTGGCACACACAAGGACCCAAACCAAGAAATGAAAAACACGACCCTGCAGAAGAGTAACGTTCAAGTAAAACCTAGGTCCCTAATTCTGTTTATTATTGGGGCAAATTCACTCCTCCCTTCTTGCAGTTATTCTTGCACAGAAGGGCTGGGGAACTGCAGGAAAGGAATGGGTCCTGAGTTTTCACCTCCGGCCCAACCAGAAGTGGCCGTGCTGTTGCTGACTGGAGCCAACCAAAGGAGGTGACATCCTTTACCATAGTTTTCCTCACTGAATGTTTACTGTTTGAAAGCCCGGCTTTGGGTTCAAACTTGTTCCTGCCCTTATTATCTCATTTGAGAAAACCTTTACTAATGCTTTTCAAATAAAAGTGTCTGCTCTTCTGGTCACCCATTCCAGACCTCTGGGCTCAACTACTTGAAAGTTGACAAGTAAAAGTGTTGAGGGAATGGAAATTGCGAGTCCCGGAAAGGTGAGGAAAGGAGGAGGAGCTAAAGGGAAGAGGTGTGGCCACCAGAAGCACTCCTGTGTTCAGACAATACACGTAATTTCCTCGTGAGCCAACTGGCGGCAGCTGGTCAGGGAGGACTGCCTCTGCCACAGGTTGGGACTGGCAGTAATGGGCACCCAGATGGAGAAAGTCGGTAGGGCATCTTCTTTTGGGCTTTCTTTGGGTATTACCAGTCTCCTTTTAGGAGCTCCAGGACCCCTCCTGGGGCATGTGGAGGATCACAGGCTACTGAGTTTAGGTACAATCTTGCAATTACTAGCTTTCAGTCACCAAAACGGATTATCAACTTTATAACAAAACTAGTAGGACTTATTCAAAAATTTTAACTAATGCTTTCTGAAAAAAGTGGGAAGGTGGGCTTCCCTGGTGGCGCAGTGGTTGAGAGTCCGCCTGCCGATGCAAGAAACACGGGTTCGTGCCCCGGTCCGGGAAGATCCCACCTGCCGCGGAGCGGCTGGGCCCGTGAGCCATGGCCGCTGAGCCTGCGCGTCCGGAGCCTGTGCTCCGTAACGGGAGAGGCCGCGGCAGTGAGAGGCCCACGTACGGACCAAAAAAAAAAAAAAGTGGGAAGGTGGGAGAGGAGGGAAGAGCATTTAAATCCCGTTTTCAGTGACACCACGGCCCCCTAAAACACTGAGCCCTCTGCAACATACTTTCCCCTTACATTTAGCCCGAGCGTAACCATGACCTGATTGCACACGTTCTGAAACCTCTCTTACCTGTGGGAGAAAGACTTAGAATCCCAAGTTTTGTTTCTTAAATTAAAATAAATTTATGCTGCTGTGGAACTGACCTTCCTGCAGATGGTTTCAGGTGGGTTGCATAAAGCTTATATTTAGTAAACCAAACTGTGACTGTGCTACAGGAGAAATGCACATTTCTTGCAGAAAGCATTTGTCTGGATAAACTAGAATAATAAAATTCCCAAGTCCCAGTGAAATTTTCGTCTTCCTGTACAGATGTGGGTGGCTTCACGAAACAGTGGCCAGGAACCCACAGATGAGGACTGAATGAAGCAGCACTGTCCTGGTACCTCGTTTCTCTGAGCAGTCTTGCTTCACGTGAACTACCACAACAGTTTAATTTTTATTCCTACATTCTGATATCTGCACGTTTAAAAACGTATCCTCTGGTTTGCTCTCCTGCATGTATTCAACATCTGAATTAAAATGAGTTTTCTTGGTCTCGTTAAGTATAACAGACCTCTCTGATTACCATAGGACAACCATTACCACCAAAAGCCAGTGGTCCATTTGATTTTACGGACTTGTCTGTGTGTCTGTGTGTGTGTGCGCATGCTCACGCACGCACGTGTGCACACAATTTTTTTAAACCAAGAGAGACAGCAAAAAGGCACCAAAAGAGGGAGCCTTATTTCTATAGTTGGCAGGGTGACAGCACCTTGCACTGTTTGGATTTGGGTGGAGCTGTCGCCAAAGAAGGAATAGCAGGTGTTGAGAAATTTCAGGAGAACTAGCTGATCGTCACCTAGCATCGTACCCGGTTGTTATTTTGACAGTGTTAGGACAGGGGACCATATAGCGTGGGCAGAGGGGTGGGGGGTGAGGAGGAAAGCTTTGCTATCAGACAGAGGCTGCCAGTCCTTACGGGACTGGGCTGAGAACAACAAGGTGCAATAAGAGGAATCAGAACAGAAAGAAAAGCATTTCTTTTCCCAGGGCCATGCCAAATTCTGCTCCGTCCCCAGTTCCAGGCCTGCCATCCCGTCTTCAAGCCCCTTCTCGGCCGCTTTCTCGGTGACTCCAAGGCCGCAGTCCTCACCTGGCTGACGCCCCTACCCTGCACTCTCCCTGCCTGCGGCCTCTGCTTTTCAGTGGGTCTGTGGGTGACAATTCCCCTTCTTTGCACCTGGTGATTCTCCCTATTAAATCAACAGCCCAGAAAGCCGCCCCGAAGTGCTACAGATAAGCCAGGCCAGATGAGAAGAGCCAATGTTAACATGTTCTGCGATGGCATGTCGTCAGGGGTGGGGCCGGTATTAATGTGATGAGGCAGCTAAACGCGACTGCCCTTGGGGCAGGTGCGGGGGACAAAGAGTGGAGGGTCAAGTCAGCAGCTGCATCCAGAGTGCGTGTGTGAATGACCTTTCCACCACGTGATCAGTTCTAGCATGCTTAGACGGTTTCCACTGGCATGCAGAAGGATCAGCTGCTCTTAGTATCTTACCCTCATCCCTTCAAATCGTGATAAGGCTCTTAAGGGTCTCAAAGCTCTTAGGGTCCTAAGGGACTTTATGGCACCTAGTTCCGAGTAGCCCAGGGCATTAGCTATAAGGCTGACTAAAGAGACCTACACGGAAACAGAAGAGAAAAACAAAAACAAAAAAAGGAAACAAAAGAAAAAAAAAAAAAGAAAACAGAGGTTCCAGAGTGTTAGAATAAAGCCCCTAGCACTGATTATACAGACTGGGCCCCGCCCCCCCCCCAGGAAGAGGAAGTGGGTAACACCAGCTGCCTACTTCAACTTGGACTCAAACGACCTGGAAGGAAAGGTGGTTGAGAGGCAGAAGAAAAAACACAAAGGGAAGAGAACGCGGAGAGAGGGCAGTAGAACAGACATACGAGTTGGCAAAGGGAAGAGGCTGGAGGGAGAGGGAGAATGAGGAAGTTCCATTGGAAGGAGAGGAGCCTGAACAGATGACAAAAACCTTACCCTCGCCCTTTATAGTCTCTGCAGGTCCCCGAAGTTCCCATTAAATTAAGCCAGACAAATTTAATGGTACCTATGGAAAAGAATACAGATAAATACACACACTCCACACAGGCTGCCCCCTCCTCAGCTCATTCACCATGGACTTCCAACAGGGACAAGCTCTCTTACTCCTGGTTGACAAGAAACCATTTGAGAATTGGATGCGTTACTACATCAACAAGGAAACGTATTCAGTAAGCACCACAGCTGACCTTGCAGTTCCCAACAAGAAAAGGACCAAAAGAAGAAACTTCTTGATGGAGGTTTGGCTCCACGGGAACTCACTTAAGTGATTCTCTCACTTTTAACCGCAACAATCCTTCCATCTTTTAACTATAACCATGACTCCTTCATGGCCACGAGAGCTTGGGTGAGTCTGGACAACTGAATCCATATTTTTCCCTTATAACCCCCATTCTTTCCAGAACAGCCCCAAAAGAACTGGCCTCAGGTCTGTCCTTTCCAGGACAATCTTCTATTACTCTCATCATCAGAATAACAGCTGGAAGGGTTCTTGGAATAATTCTTTATTTATAGATGAGGAAAATTGAGACCCATATACAAGAATTTGCCCGGTGTCACACTGGCAGTTCTGGAGCCAGGATTAAAGGCTCAGATGCCTGATTCCCAGGCCAGAGCTCTTTCTCCCATGGATAAGTCACCTCCCTCACTGGAAGGCTGGATGACAAAATCTCAATAGAGGATTACGGTATCTGAACAATTTGGGGTTGAATATGTTGCCATGCTGGGGAGAAGCAGTCTGGTCTCTGGGCCTAGAGTTACGGTCAAATTCTTTCCTGCTCTTCCACTGGCAAACTCACCTTATTCTGCCAGAGGTCTCAGAACAGTTACCACGCCGACCCTTAACTATACCTAAGGCTGCCTGGGCCTAACCGGAGAGAGAGATGTAGCTCTTCAGGGAGCACCAGACCTGAAATACCTTTAGTTAGAATGTTTGGGCTCCTGGCTTTCTTAGAGCAGTCTTTCCTTTATATTGCACCACAAATTCTGGGATCGGTTAAGATGTTTCCATCAACAATTCTTAAATTCCCTCTACTGGGAAGTGGTGATTACAGATCGGCTTGGCCTAAACTGGCATTTTAAAGCAACAATCCATAACTTAGTTTCATTTGTTGCTTTTTATCTCTAGCTGAGGGATTTACTTCTTTGATTCTGTATCTCTGAACTGTAAAAAAAAAAAAAAAAAAAAAAGTTGCTTTAAAGGAAGATATTTATAATTAAGCAGCAGGGGTAGAAGTAGCAGGTCAGTGACCCTAGTGAGGGTCACGGATGAGCAGGCTCAAAGGTTTCAGTTTTTCAAAGGGTTGTGAACCTTCAACTATGCCTGTCCTCGTAACCCATTAGTGCAGGTCTCTCCTCTACAGTCCTGGGCTGTATCTGAAGCAAATCTGGAATGAAATGCTGCCCTATTAGGCCACTCATGCTCTCTGAAGGGTAGATGGCTCAGAGGTCAATTTCTGTTCAAAACAAGCGCCTCCAAATCCTTATCTAGAACACAGTAGTACCAACCAACCATCTTCCCTCCATCCATCATTAACAGGAAGACTCTCCATGGAGGTGTCTTTTGCCTACTATTGCCAAGTGCAGCCAACTCTTAACCCCAAAGAATCTATAGGTACATCTGAAGGTAAGTTACCTCAACCAAATACATGAGTTCAAAATACCTGAGTCAACTTCATCCTGTGAAACTATGCCAGGTAAAGACTGCAAAAAACTAAGTTTCACACAAGACAAGACAACCCAAGCTCTTCTCGGGGCGGGGGGCGGTGCGTAATTTGTCTGATAATAAATAGGCCTGCCTAAAGTGGGGGGAAGGGTGGAGGAGGTACAGAGGCCAATTCAGAGTCTGGCTCTAAATGGTGCTGAGAGAGAGTCTGCCGCTCAACTCATCAACCTGGCCAAGATCACCCAAGACAGGACCAGCAAGCATCCTATCTGGGTTATTCCTAAACAGTTAGGGGCAATTTTATAATCTGCCGAGTCTCCATGTTAAACTCTCACTGGACATAATGAGAACATTGCTTAGAATTAAGGAAAGAATCAAACCTGAAAGGAAAAAAAAAAGGAGTTGAGGGCAAGTCAAAATCCAGGGTATCTGTGGCTTCAGGCACTGAAAAAAAGGGAGAGACACTGGGTGGCTTTTTCAAAATGATGTGAACATTTTCAAATGGAGAATGGTTTCAGTAGTCTGAATTCAGGATGAGGTGAATGGTCTCCGCAAGTTCCCATCCCTGGAACCGATATGCTGGCTAATCTCCGGATCTGATGTGGTAAATTTCCCTGGGAAAAGATGACAAAATTCTTTTCCAGGACAAGATCTCCAGTGCAGCCAGGGACCTGGGCAAAAGAAAATGGTGTCTCTGTTTGGGAATTCGCCTGGCTTACAAACACAGCGAGTTAACCTTGGAAGCTGTCTAGATCATCCCCATGATCCTAAAGAGTGCTCTGAGCAGCTGTAAAGGGCAACAAGGAAGAATGAAAATCCATTAGGGAAACAAACATGGTGATGAATAACAGATTCAGATATCAAGCCACCGGTGGATGAAACGGGAGGAAGAGAGTCTCAGAGACGCTCCAAAATGAGGACCTAAAATTTACACCTGCTGGATGTTCTAAAATGCCAAAGGCACTAGACACTTTGTCCAAAAGGACAGCAAAAACTGACAGTTCCCCATGTCCAGGTGTCAGTCTAAGCCTTATTCTCCGCCCACAACTCAAAAGTGGCCAACAGTGCAGCCACGGCATGGACTGGGGCTCCCCCCGCCCCCAGCACACTCTGCTTCACACTGGTTATTTGTGTACGTGTCCCATCTTTTCAGTCCTTTGAGAGAAGTGACCTCGTCTTCTGCTCTCTGTATCCCCCCACGATACCTGGCAGGAGGCTTTGTGTTGCAGATGCTCCGTAGACATGAGACGTGAAGAATAGATGCACTGCTCTGTCCCAGAGAAAACAGAAGGAAGGTCCTGGGAAAGCCCTGTTCCTGGGATGCGGGATTTCCACAGCCTGGAATCAGGTCAGAGTGGCCCTGCAAGCCAGTGTGAGCTTCCCAGGGGCTGGGACTCTGCCTGCCTGTCCCGTGACTCCCTATGGCTTCTGGGACAATTCCACACGGAGAATGGTGTTTCATTTATGTCTGTCTACTAGTCACTGGTCCAGAGGTATTCTCAGGAGCCAGTGTCAGGTCTCATGGCAATGTAAGAATCCAGCAACTCCCCAAAGCTAGGGGGATTTAAGGGTTATTGTCAGTTGGCTACATGCCTTTCTCATGTTTTTTGTTTCCCTGCCACCTAGTATAAAAAGTACTAAAGATATTTGCTAAATAAATAAATGGTGACATGCAGAATCGTTAATGCTTCTAGCAGCTTATTTGGGTACCAGAGGAATGTGGGATACCTGATTGATACTCACAAATTCTGGGGTTGCGCACCCCAGAGAGAAGAGGAATAGAGTAGTAGAGGTCAGGGTGAACAGGAGGCAGGTCATGGTAGGGAAGATCTGTTTCTGAATCACAGCTTTCCTAGGGCTGTTGGAAGTGTGGTAGTGGATGTATCTATCCGAGTTCTTGGAATGTCCAGAAGATGAGGGGCTTCTAGGATGCCCACGGGTGTCCCACCTGATTCTAAGTGGTCCTGAGTAGTTACAGTGAAATGAAGACTCCAGAGCACTTCCCCTGTTCTGCAGAAAGCAAGTTGGCCCAGTGTCACTTTAGTACTCTGGGCCTTATCCCAAGCCCACTCCTTAGCTCCTAGAACTCAAGCTTTCCATCTGTGGGAGGTAGAGTCCCTTCCATCCAAGGTTGCTGAAACCTCTGGCTAGGAGGCTCTCTTGCTGGCAACTCTGGGGCGATACCTCTCTGGTTCACTCGGACGGCAGACAGTGACCCCCTCACTTCATTTAGGGATCTTCCCGAAGGCTTGCTTTTTGAAATGGGGAATGTAGATAGGAGCATAGTGACAGCTCTTGGAAGGAGTCATTAAACCATGGAAGTTGCAGATGCTGTGTTGGGAAAGGAGTGCATTAACAGAGCAGAACGCCAGGTGCCTGTTACTTCCCTGCTGCTCTATGCTAGATCCCGGAGGCACTCTACACGTAGTTCACCATATAGCCAATGAAACCCATATTCTAAATGTATCAACCCAGCCGCCAAGCACTCCACTTTCTTGGCGCTTCTCAGCCCTCAGAAGGAAGTGAAGTTTCCCTGGGCCCTGCTCCTGAAATTCCCATTCACTCCCATTCAAATGCTGATTTGGCTGAAAGAAAAAAAAGCTGTAGTGATTAGACAGAATAAGAAACACTCATCATGGTTAGAAAACCCAGTAAGGAACAAGTCGTGGTGGGGTGAGAAATAGTGTCAGGTGACGCAGCTTCCACCCTGAAAAAGAACATGGCAGGCGAAGGCCGCTGAGCTGTGGAGATGCTCTCAAAACCTGGAGGAAAAAGGATTTCTTAAGAGTTTGATCACCTCTGTGGAAATGCGACGTGTGGGAAGAGGGGGGGCTTTGTTTCGGGGTGACTCCTCCTCGCCCTGACAGTCTGACTTGTTCAGATGAGTCTAGTATGAAGACTTGAGGTGGATGGGAGTGTCCCCGGGGATGGTCGGCAGGAGATCCCACCACCACCTCCGTCCCAGCAGCACCCACCTCGTCCTCTAAGCCCTCTCCTGGCGGCAGGAGGAGGACATCACACTGGCTTGGGGACACAATCCTCCTGTTCCCAGCCTAATAACAAGGCTCTGACACCAATGATTCTGCCCAGTCCTAACCTCTGAAACTTCTAGGCCAAAGCACCAGAGTAAAGAGCTGCTGAGTTAGTCCCTGGAGCGAATGCAGGACTTCAGAGTCCCTTTCCAAAGTTACGATCTGAGTGCTCCAAAAGGAGCTGTCGTGCTCTATCTACATCTTGTCCTACACCCTGGGCCCCAGGCAATTCCAGCCATTAGAGGAAGGACAGTCCCTGTTTTTGCTTTCCTGCTGGCATGGGTGGGAAGTAGAAAGCAGGACACGTACAGCCACGATGAGGAAGTCCAGCCAGCACCAGGCATTGGTGAAGAACTTGACGAAGCCATAGGCTATCCACTTGAGCAACATCTCCAGGATGAAGATATAGGTGAAGACTTTGTCAGCGTACTCCAGGATGGTACGAATGGTCTTTCTCTGCTCAATGTAGATGTCCTCGAAGGCCTGGAAGAGAGGCAGCAGCTGCCTATAGTGCCTAAAGGGAAACAAGCAACACGGAGGTACTGCCCCCCTCCGCAGCCCTCCCACCTGCGGTGGCCCGTCATCAGCTCCCTGTCTCTTTCTCTCTATCCCCTGCTACACACGGCTTTTCTCTTTAAAAAAGCGTTCTTGAGATGGAATTCACATACCTCACAATTCAGCTATTTAAAGCGTACATAAGAGCAATAGCTCTTAATACAATTCAGAGTCGTACATCCGTCACCACAATTGGAGAATATTTTCATTACCCCCCAAAGAACCCCCACACCTCTAGCTGTCACCCTCTAGTCTCCCAATCTCCCCCTAGTCCTGGCAACCACTCATCTATCTTCTATCTCCACAGGTCTAATCCTTCTGGACATTTCGTATAAATGGAATCGTATAATATGCGGTCCTTGGCGACCGGCTTCTTTAACTTAAAATAATGTTTTCAAAGTTCATCCATGTGGCAGCACCCCTCAGCACTGCATTTTTCTTTTTATCGATGAATAATGTTCTAGTTACGGCTATACCAACATTCTGTTTATCCTTCGTCAGTTGATGGACATATGTGTTGTTTTTACATTTTGGCTATTGTGAATAATGCTGCTATGAACATCTGTGTACAAGTTTTCACGTGGACGTGTTTTTATTCCCCTTGGGTATATACCTAGGAGTGGAATGGCTGGGTCATTGGTAACTCAAGTTTAATTTTTTTGAGGAATTGCCGAACTGCTTTCCAAAGAGGCCGGACCAGTCTACATTCCCACCAGCAGTAGATGAGGGGTCCAATTCCCCCACAGCCTTGTTAACACTTTATATAATTTATAGGACAAACATTTTTCTCCCTTCAGCCCCTGACACCACAGACACAGGTGGAGAGTTACAGGACTGGAAGACACCGGGTGAGGAGAATCTCAACACGCCTTTCTTTTCTCTGGAATTCCCAAACGAGGGGATGAGCCTCTGTCATGTGAAGGTCTGAGCACTCGTGCGTGCAGCGGGGTGGACTGCAGAAGCTCTGTGCTGGGGGGAGGGAATCCCTGAAGTGTGGAAAAAAAAAACAAACCTGGAGGTGGACAAAGGGTCCTGTGCCCGGCGGTGGAGGAGCCTGCTCTGAACAGTCCCAGAAGGAAGGACAGAGCCAGGCTGCCCGCAGACTCTCCTTCCCAAATGGAGGCACATGGACATCCAGGTTCACTGCTGGGCAGTGGGGACAGAAATCATGGGTCCACAGTCCTCAGGGTCTGGTACAAATCAATCCCCTCCGCTCAGTGGAAAAGCTATAGCTTCCACGTCGCGTTTCCCCTTAGCTCCACCTGTAGAGACCCATTCTAGAACCCAACATGTGTGAGCTGCGACCGTTCATCCTGTCACTGGGGGCGCTGATCCCCCTCTGAGACCTCCTCACAACCACATTCTAGTCTTTTCCTGGACATTTTAGCTGTGGCTTCACTTGACTTGAGTCTCATGCTACTACTGCACAGGGTCTTCACGTCCTGAGCCCGGTCTCCCCCGTTTTATTCACCTTTGATAAATAAAGACCGTCACAGTAGCAGTGAAGAAGGTTTAATACATGTGTTTCACTGCTGCTTCTACTCTTTTGCGTAGAGACGGGGGAAGAGGAGAATCAAAGGGTGAGGCATGCCCTCTCTTATTTTGGGTTTTCATTTACTAGATTTGAAGAATAAGGATGACAACAGTAATAAAAGACCTTCCTCAATCCCTGGCCTGAGTCTGATCCTTTCTCAAGGGCAGGGCCTGCGCCGTCCTCTTGGGGCCTCCACAGGCCTCAGGAGGTGCTGAGTGGATGCCTGTTGGTGCAATAAACGGCCCGGGGGCAGGCAGGATGGTCTGGCTCCCCTTCACTAGGGATAGAGGCTTTTTTGTCTCCTGCTCTAGTCCTGAGGCTTTCCTGCATTGCTCACCACCCCCCACCACTCCCCACTGTTCACCGTCATCTTCACGCTCGGGCTCTTCTTCACCACACGTCACGTCCTGTCTCGGCTTCTCCTATTCTCCTGCCTCACAAGTCAGAGAAACTTCTCAAGTCACTGGGGGTTCTTTAACGCTAAATTTGGGGCTTCTCGCTTGTTATTTTTTGCTTCCAGATTAGGCTCTAATTCCACACCTACATGAATGTGCCCACCTTCTTTAAGAGCATTTCAAAATCCAGCATTATTTACTTTTCCCTTAATTAAAAGAAGGAAAATGTGTTGTGTCTCTAGTTCCTGCTGTCTTCGAATCTACTCAACTAGGAAGCAGCTCCCTCACAGCAGACCCTGTGCAGATCTCCTCAGTTATAATCCTGCTAAAAAATGAAAGTAAACACCAAGATAATTAGTCCTAGTAGGGGAGGAACCTGTGTGTTCAGTGCCCTGTGTGCCTCACTGACTAATGAGAAGCAGGTACAACCACGTGAATATAAATGACCTTCGTATCAGAGATCTGACTCCTAACATCTGCTAAGGCCACGGGCTCTCCGAGTGCAGCAGCGTATGACGGGAGAGGGGGTGGAGGGGTACCACCTCCCTCCTACCTTGGGCAACTGAAAAGTCAAGAACTAGTGATTCAGGGTATTAGGCGAGAAAGGGAAGCTCATCTTAGGAAGTTGTTTTGAACGGCGCAAACTAAGCAGTGAAGATACTTGGTAACCTGTATTCTCTGCCTGATGAAAAGGGGCTCCTAGGCTTCAGAGGGATCGTGCTGGGTCTAAAGATGAAGATTTGGACAAGTTTGAATTCGAATCCCAAAGGCTCAAAACACCAGCTCGAAGCACGTCCGTAGATCATTATTCTTGGGCCTACAGTCAAGCTGTGTTCTCAGAGAAACTGGGCTTGGGCCCATCCAGTCCTTCCTGCTCTACCCCTTCCCCAGCCAATCCCCCATGGTTCTTTCCCCCGGACCTCACCAGGGCGCCACTGCTGAGCAGAATCATGAAGATGATGAAGGTCTCAAACCAATTGTGCTCCACAATGAGGAAGCAGGTTTTCCGCAGGATCCACCAAGACTTGCCCAGCCCTTCCTCAATGTTGACCTGGCAGCACTTGAATCTCTGGACACAACCTGGCACCAGCGGGAGAGGCAGGTCAGACTGTGGGACGTGCCCCGCCCAGATGTGCCCTCTCCTCCTTCTCCCAGGCCCCACCAGGTGCTGCCCCACCACACAGCCAGGAGTTCAGTGGCTGAATCAGAAGGTCTGACTCAGAAGTGGAGAGGGTGGCAGGGCTGAGGCTATGCTGCCAGGCTACCAGGGCAAGGCCCTCTGGCGCTGGGAAGATGTCCTATAAAGAAGCAGTGAGAGGGAGGAGAAAAGGGTAGTCAGGAGGCGGGCACGGCCATGACAGGAGAGGCCTTTCTAATGGAAGTTTGGGGCTGACGTCAAGAAAAAAGGACAAAGAAAAGCCTGAGAGTAAAAACTTGTGATAGCTAAGGCTCAAACGGGCAAAGCAGTATCAACCTCCCTCCAAATGATGAGGCGGGGTGAAGACAGCCGTAGAGCCCCCTCCCCAGCCAACCACTGACCCTGGCAGAGATGTGTCTGCGAGCAGTGCAAGTGCTACAGGCCATCCCCTCTCCTGGCCCCCTTTCACCTTCTGTGAAACAGGCATCTGGATCCAAGTATTCCTCAGGCTGTTCCACAGGGACTTCTTCTACTTCTGGTTTGATATCAATGGTGCTGCCTTCAGAGGAGCTAGTGTCATCCAGTTTCTAGATACACAAGGAAAAGGGAGAGAAGCAACACTGCAGCAACACGTCCACTCTACACTGACGACGCTACCTTGGTACAGATGATGTACCGGATACAATTCTTGTTGCAAACCCATGATCGTCCAGTTCATCACAGGCAAACGACTACCACAGCGCCCTCAAGACTTCTGTCAGGATGGGGTACAACATTAAAGCCCACTCACAGATGACAGGGATCTACCCTAAGCAGAAGGTGGGCTATAGACTGGTCTCAGTGATACAGCTCAGACAGATTAACGGCAGGGAAGTACTGGACGGTTTTCTCCAGCCTCTGGATCCAGACGATCCAGAAGCCATGGAGACAGATCTGGGAACATCTCGGGAATCTAGCTCATCTAGAATAACAATGGGGGGGTGGGTAGGGTTGGTTCTCAAAGTTGAGAGTCGGCTCTTCCAGAACCTCTCTGCCAGACCCAGAGCTGAACCGAAGCCTTGGGGCTGACAGAGCCGTCTGTTCTCACATAGGATCAAGACTGGTTTCTAGGCTAGGACCTTACATCTTTGCTGCCTTCAGGATCCGACTCGCTGCTAACGTCCTCGGTGTTGAGGTTCTCAAAATCAGACTCGCCTACCGCGATGGGCACTCTCACGGTCAGGTTGGGGTTGTTGATGAAGGACATGTGGTCCTCATCGATGATGTACTTCTCCACGCTGCTGCCAATGCCGCTGGTTGTGCCGTTGCCATTCTTCTGGAAGTCACCGTTCCGGTGGATGTCGGCGCCAGTGTGGTTGGCGATGCAGTTGGCCTTCTTTTCGTACAGCTCGTCCAGAGGTTTCACCTCGTCGGCCTCGCGCTGCTTCAAGTGGGCCTGCATGAAGGCGCGCACTTTCAGTTTGGTCCAGGCCACGCCCTTCTTGATCCGGATAACTGAGATTTGTAGGTTGTTCATTTCCCCATCATCATCTGTGGCTGCCAAGTTGTCAGCACTGAAGGAGCTCAGGAGCAAGGCCAGAAACAGGTTCAGCACCTGGACCAGGAGCATTAGGAAAAAGGAGAGTGAATGTAGAATGGTATTGGGTAAGGGCATCCACTAAACTAGGGTTGCAAACTGGGAGCCCACAGACTTATGTGAAAGACTCAGGAGTTTCTATTGTGTTTCACTTGACCCACGTAGTGTTTTAAATGTCACTAGGTGGGCATTTGGTTTGGTTTTGGTTGTAATACAAGGAGTTTAGTACCCCTTTTCTTGGTTCTTTTGTAGTGTTATATACATATATATGTACTTCAAAACATACTGCTTTTCTTATAATCTGAGAAAGCAAAGGCTGTATCCATTTTGGGAGAAAATTCCCCAAAAATAAAAACAACAAGGTGGGCATGGATTATTGGGGAGGATCAAAGAATGCATAGATGCTATGTGTTCGTGAGCAGCAGGTGTCCTGGAGGACCCAGGTTAGAAAAAAAGTAGGCTTGGAGAGCCAGACTCTCATAGCACAGATCTAGAAGGTGGAACGGTAATATATTTGATGTCACCCTATTTTAAGAATTTTCTTTGTTTTCCTAACATTTATCAAAATTAAGTAGCTCTAGCAAGACAGTGATGGTGACTTTTGTGTTCTATCATATATCGAAGTGTCAAGCCATCAGAAACAAGCTTTATTTATGTTGTCTTTTCCCCTATTTCACCACATTGGGCATTAAATTAACTATTTTTATTAAGACTTACTTTTGAAAAGTGGGAGAGATGTTCACTGCTTGATTTACACTTGGCCCTTACTTTGTCACACTTCTGAAGAAGAGTAAGGCATAGTTTTTCGGTGGAGATAATCATACGTGCAGAGTGGGAGAAATGGAAACAATATGTGAACTATATGTATCATGATTACTGCAGCCTTTTGCAGAATTACAAAGGGATATGGTCGGTAAAGTGCGGGTCAGTTGCAGAAGGCTCTGAAGGCCAGGCTGAAAGATCTGGATTTTATTTAACTGGATTCACGACTGGTCCTTGAGCAAAGGAGTCACAGGTGAGGACAGAGATTTGAGAAAGTCATTCCTACTAGCTACGTACAAGGGTCGGGGGTGGGGGGTGTGAGGGGGAACTAGGAATTAGGAGGTTGTTGCTTGCATGAATTGATGAGGGTCTGGATTAGGCTATAGTAACCTCAAACCTTAGCATGCAGAAGAATCTCCTGGGGTGGGATGCTTGTTAAAAACAAGCATTTCCTTGGCCTCACCTGAAAGATTCTGATTCAGTAGATCTGATGTAAGGCCTGGGACTCCGCCTCTTTTAATGAGTGAGACTCAGGTGATTGTGATGAAGGTGGTCTTCCTCACACTTTTAGAAATAACAGATGGGTTGTAGAAATGGAAAGGAAGGGGCAGATCTCAGAAATACTATGAAGAAAGATGTAGGTATAGAAATGCTAAGAAGAAAGACATATGAAGGACATCAGATATTTACTAGGAGTGGAGAGACAAATCAGAAAGACTTATAGGTTACTAGAGACTACATGGGCAGAAGAACTGAGCCAAGGGGAACTGGGAAAGGTGTCATCAGAGGCAGAAATAATAGTGGATTCTGTCATGTGCTCAGGTATCTATAGCCAGTCATGGGGCGATGCCCCTGAGACAACTGAGAACAGGAGGCTAGAGAAACGGTAGGAGGTCAGGGCTGGTAATGTTTGATCCCACTACAGACCAGTAGGCAGCAGTTGTATTCACTGAAGGAGTGGAAAGACCACAGGAATCAGGAGTGAGGGGAAGTTGGCTGGGCATGGAGAATGCAAGCGATTAAGGAACATTACAGTGTCTATTTTTATAGGTCCAATGAAAGAACAGGGGGAGCATGGCTAGTTCAGAGGCTGGTGAGTAGGAACCCTCTACTGGCATATGCTTCTCTGTGGCAGAAAAAGGAAGACCCCTACTGCGGATGCGCTCATAAGGGGTCACCTGAGTATGCCTCCTTCCAGCCCTCCTTGCTCTACACCTGCAAGCGGGCTTTGGCCTGACCTGAAAGATGAGTGCTTCTCAAACTTTAGCATGCATGGGAATCACCTGGGGATCTTGTTAAAAATGCAGATGCTAATTCAGTAGTTCTGGGGAGGGGTCTGAGATTCTGCGTCTCTAGGACACTCTCAAACGATCTCATTGTTGCTGGTCCTCAGATGACACTTTGAGAAACAAGGTGTGAAGTCTCTGTTGGGGAATGTTCTATATACAGAGGCAGAAGACAGCAGGCAGACAGATCAGGGTGAAGCAAGAAATTGATCTGCAACTTATACAAATTAGATAAAACCCTGGGATGGTTCAGATCCATGGTTCTCAATGGAGGGCGATTTTGACCCCTGAGGACAGCTGGCAACGTCTGAAGACATGTTTGGTTTTCACAACTTGGGACGGGAGTCACTACTGGACAGTAAAGAGTAGAGGCCAGGATACTGTAAACACCCTACAACATGCAGGAAAGTTCCACAACAAGTAATGATCTAGCCCAAAAGATCAATATTGTCAAGGTCGGGAAATTCTTTTTTTTTTGGTAGCAGAAAGAGCATAGATTTTGAAGTCAAGGATCTAATATAGGCCCTGACTCTTTATCAGCTGTGTGACTTTGGAAAAATGTCTTAACTTCGCTGAGTTTTGTTTCCACAACTATGAAAGAGGGTTGACAGATTGTGGGGCTCATGACCTAAAACAGCAGTCTCCTTTCCTTCACTTGTACCTTAGGGTTCTTCAGCCAAGAAAGAATAAAGACCAACCCAGACATGGAAGGTAGTAGAAGCACTAAGCAGACTGGGCTTCTGGGTCAAGGATAAGACGTTCAGAGCGAAGAACAAAGAGATCTACACGTTAGTACTAACCACCAAGTTGCCGATAACCATGACCATCATGAAGACGATGAGGCACATGGCCTGGCCGGCCACCTCCATGCAGTCCCACATGGTCTCGATCCACTCCCCGCACAACACTCGGAAGACAATGAGGAAAGAATGAAAAAAGTCATGCATGTGCCAGCGAGGGAGTTCACAGTCCTGGTTGATCTTGCAGACACACTCTTTGTAGCTCTTTCCAAAGAGTTGCATTCCCACCACGGCAAAGATGAAGACGATAATGGCCAGCACCAGGGTCAGGTTGCCCAGGGCACCCACTGAATTTCCAATAATCTTGATCAGCATGTTCAGGGTGGGCCAGGATTTGGCCAGTTTGAAGACTCGGAGCTATGGGGAAAAAAAAACCCAAACAAAACCCAAGTGAAACTCAATTCATTTATTCTTACCACATGGCTACAATAAAAACATATGAAATTACTAAGATCATCTTAACATTTACTGAGCACCCTTGGGAAATCCCCAGGACTTTCTAACAGTATCTTAGACGAAAATGAGAGAAGCTGAGGCAAAGATGAAGGAAAACAGATTAACTGCACAGGAAGTGAAAGATTTAGAACTAAGAACCAAGAATACTGCCTCTAGTCCCCTGAATTAGTCTCTGGGTCAATCTACCTTTTAAAAATCCATATACCTGAAATAATCCTTTTCCCACTGATTTTCCTCTGACTTCTCAAGGGTCATATCAAGGAAAATGTGATTTGTAGTGAACCAAAAGGTCAGTTGGGTAAGGACGGTGAAAATAAATCATCTGTCTCTTCAAAAAAGCAAGCAGTTAAAAATTCTACATACCTCTCTTTTTGCTTGCCAATGAATAATCAATCGCTGATATGAAACTTCGTGACATGCTTGGAATAACTTGGAGGAAAACCACAACCTCCAAGTAGGGGAAGTTCCAATATGTCAAATAGCTTATGAAAAGGGACTATACTGATATTAATTCAGAGGACAGAACTTTTGGTATCTGTCAATCACGAGATTTCTGTATTCTGTAATGAATGATTACAAGGTCTTGGCTAATAGCCTGAAGCCCATGAACAGAGATCGTCATCATATGTCTTAAGTTAATAACTAACACGTGATGTAATAAGAATTCTGGTAGAAGGCAACAGCACTGATTAGGACTTTTTTTTTCCTATTTAAAACTTGAGTCTTCATACATTGTTAGTGGGACTGTAATTTGATGTAACCCTTGAGGAGGGAAATCTGGCATTACGTGGCAAAACTATCTGCAGATCTATCTCTGAGCAAGCAATTGCACTTTTAGAAGGTTAAACTTATTGTATTTAGGTTAATGGCGTATGGTAAATATTTGTACTATCCTTTGATATAAAAATAAACCTCAATAAATCTAAAAAAAAAAAAGAAAACTTGAATCGTATCTGAGAGTTCCAAGATTTACCAGATGTGGCTCTGTGCACACTCTGGGTCTCTCATATTTTTTTCCCTATTCTGACTGGCTTTTAATTTATCAAGAGTATTAGTGGCAAGGCTTCTATCTCTTAATTCTTCATCTTATCGTCTAGAAAATAAGAAGTATTCTCAAAAAGTCTACTGTGGGCTGGATCCTAACCAAAGACCAGTAAGCAGAGGTTCCAGAAACTTGACAAATATTTGTGACGTGGATTCAATGAGATTTCTGTTTTATAAACAGTTTCACTCTAATCCAATTCTATTTCTTAGATATGCTGAATATCCTGAAATCTTTTCAGTTGCAAGTGCTTAGGTATCTTCCCCATAAGGAGCTGCTTTGTCTGAGTGGGATATCCCCATGATAACTCAGCTGCTTAAGCGACTTAATCAGGACATCACTTATGCCTGTGCATATGGGAAGCTACTTCGAGGATATCATTAACTATTCTTTCAGAGGCATTTTAGTAATTTGAACACTAACTTCTTCAAATACATTTGAAAAATCTTTCTTAGCTAATGATGGATGTTCAACTACTAATTTCAATATAACTTTAAAAAACATTACTTTATTCTCATATTTTGGAAGGGGTCACCATGATAGAAGAAGAGTGGAGCCACCTTTGAAAAAGAAGAAATTCTTGCCACTTCAGGGAGATGTTCAGATAAAGAAAGAGGCTCACTAGCAAATCCAAACTGGACCTCAGAATAGCCCTTGGGAATCCTTCTTCTTCGTCTTTTAGATTAACCATTATTTTCTGAGGAACTTCATAAAGTTGATTTCTGTTTGTTGACTGATTTTAACAACTACTTTCTATATTAGGTAGTTAGCAGAAAAGTTTTCAATATTTTAGTTGCTAAGCCAATAAACAGCCAATGAAATATAGCTAAAGATTTTAAAAAATCATCAGATTATCTTATGCAAAACTCTTTCTAGTAGCTGCAAGATAGGAAATATAAAAAGAAATTGGAGAAATATGGAATACCAATCGGAAAGATCGCAGCACCGAAAGCCCCTCCACGTCTGCTAGACTCAGTTCCATTAAACTGAGGGAGACAATAAATCCATCAAAAATGTTCCAACCTTCTTGGAAATAATAGTAGGGATCCATGGCTATGAGCTTCAGGAACATTTCCGCTGTGAAAATTCCAGTGAAAACCTAAAGAGGGGAAGGCAGGGGTAAGAAAAAAGAAATAATAAAAAGAAAACGCCTTTATCGTTATCTTTGAATATGGCACGTCCAAGAAGCCACAAGCACCAGCCTTGGCTAAATTCTGCACCTGAGGCCGACAATACCCGGATGTCCCCTGACCATGCCACATGATGCAGGAAAGTCTTCTTATTTTCCTCTTTTTTTTTTTTTTGCGGTACACGGGCCTCTCACTGTTGTGGCCTCTCCTGTTGCGGAGCACAGGCTCCGGACGCGCAGGCTCAGCGGCCATGGCTCGCGGGCCCAGCCGCTCCGCGGCATGTGGGATCCTCCCGGACCGGGGCACGAACCCGCGTCCCCTGCATCGGCAGGCGGACTCTCAACCACTGTGCCACCAGGGAAGCCCTTATTTTCCTCTTGAATGAAGAGGAAATGTTCACATCTTTGTTGCCAGAACTACCCAATTCATATTGTTCAAACGTGCAGTTAAAAAATTATTCTAAGCAACTGAAAATATCACACAGGTGACTCCTAAAGGGTCAGCAGTCGTTTGAATGCGTATGCCACATTTGGGATGTTGGCCAAAAAAAAATCACTCGTGTTATAATTATATTTAAAAAATACAGTATTATTCCTGATTTGACATTATGTGCCTTCTCAAACGTCGACATATACTGCAAGCCTTCTTATTTTAAATGGTAAAAGCAACAGAACATTGCTAAAAGTGTGAAAAATACAGGAGAAACGTTCACAGTCTCACCACCTTGCATACAACTATTATTTCATGTACTCCTTTTCTTTTTTTTTCTTCAAATGCATATATATTTTGTCAGAGTTGTAAACCACAGACTACATAATATTTTAGCTTTACACTTATCTTGACTTATCACGACTCATTTCACTTATCACGTATTTTTCATTTAATCATGACTCCATTCATGTTGCAACACGGTCTTCCTAATTCTCACTTTTATTGCTTGTATAATATTCTATTGGGTAAATACATCCTCAAAGAATTTTCTTATTGTTGGAAACTCTGGTCCTTCCTTTTGATTTTTTCAATATGATAGTCAATAATGTAGTAACTATTTTAGATTTGGAGCTTACTGGGCACGAGAATGACGTCTTCCCTGTGTTACCTGGCTCCCACTTTTCTGCCCTTCAGAGCACCTTGGGTTTCCCAATGCTTTCTGTATCCTTCCCAAGGCCTTAGTAACATAACAGGCAGGGAGAGAGTAAAATCCCATGAACCCCAGTTTTGACAAGACCAATACCCTCTTCTAGCCTAAGCATGTAACATACGACTACGACTGAATATTCTATTTTTAGAGGAGAGGACTTTACACGCAGCAGATTTAAAATTCATAGTAAGTTAATACTTGTAACCACTTCGTTACCAACTTTACATATGAAGGAGTTTGAGGAAAACTTTGGAGATATGGTCTGAGGACAGAATTAAAAATAATGAAAAAGACTTAGATTACAGACACTGTTTTGAAACACACTGAGTTAATGTATAGCAATAAACAGAATGACTTGACGAAAACACAACAAAATGGATAAACGGGCTGGAAATTTTGGGGGTCCATATACGTTTCTATGGTTCCCCCACTTTGCTAAATTGAAGATGCAGCATTCTAAAACTGAAAGAAAATATTCCCTGAAGAGATCTGGTTAAGTTAAATCAAAGTTCATAGTGCAAGCTAAGCGTCTACAAATAGAATACCACTCTGCGTGAGGTCAGGAAAGTAGGGGCAGTGAATCAACTCCTGACACACACTTTACCCTTAGCATCAGCCCATCAAAGGTTTCTCTACATAGAAACATTAACCCACTTAACGCACACTAAGTAGAGACTGAATTTGCTGTCCCATTAGTTCTTGGTGAGCATACAGTAAGTGCTCAGTAACAAGCACGGGCTGACTGACCTCGGAATATCTATACTGTGGGAACTCTGGTTCCCGACAGAAGATCAATGACACAGTTATGTGGTGCTGCCTTTCAATGGGATGAAAGGCCTCCAGGTGCCTGGTAGAAATGCCTGTGACAGAGGTCGGCACCCATGTTGTTTCAGCACATAGTGTGCTGCCCTTGTTTGGGGTTTGGGTGAAAATAAATTTGTAACTATTGGAAGGAATTAAATGGAGAAGAGTAGATTTAAGGTTATCCATTTGATGCCATTCTTCTTGGCACTGTGATATGCTTCTTGAGGAGAAAAAGGAACTACAGAGACTTCCTCGGTGGTGCAGTGGTTAAGAATCCGCCTGCTAATGCAGGGGACACGGGTTAGAGCCCTGGTCCAGGAAGATCCCACATGCCGTGGAGCAACTAAGCCTGTGTGCGACAACTACTGAGCCTGAGTTCTAGAGCCCGGGAGCCACAACTACTGAGCCTGCGTGCCGCAACTACTGAAGCCTGCATGCCTAGAGCCCGTGCTCTGCAACAAAAGAAGCCACCACAATGAGAAGCCCGTGCACTGCAACGAAGGGTAGCCCCTGCTCTCTGCCAACTAGGGAAAGCCCACGTGCAGCAACAAAGACCTAACACAGCCAAACATAAATAAATTTTTTTGAAAAAGGGAACTACAAGCAGCACATCAACTGTATATAAATGTCCCTCTTGTGAATGTCATCAAATATTCACCTAAGAATTTATGTTCTAGTGCAGCAGATCTCAAAGTGTAGTCGGGGATCCCTGAGGTCCCTAAGACCTCAATGGTCTTAGGAAGGAAGCAATGAGGATGTGCTGAAAGGATACAGAAGCCACCTTGAAGGGACTCCTACTGGCCAAATCAGGAATGTTTTAAACATCTAAGTACATGATAGTAATGGATTAAAATAAAACCCACTGAATAAGACTGAAAACTTTGAGTCCATACAGATATAAGTAAGTAAAGGAATAAATCAAAAGTTTAATGAAAAACAGGAAATTTAGATAGCTTCAAAGTGTCTTCCTCACAAACACTTATTAATTATAAATGGAAAAAGAGTAACTGTACAGGGGAGAAGCCTGGCAGAACCTCCTTAATCAAGTGATCAAGTGACCACAGGCAGAAATGGGACAAACGCAAATCACGTGCCACCTGGTAGATGTAATGAGAAGATGACAGTCTTGCTGTGCGACAGTCCTGCAAAAGCCCAGGAGAATGTACTTGTTTGTTAAAAGCACACTACGGTATTTGGGGGTGACAGGCTGTGTCAGCAACGTACTCTCAAAAAATAGTTTTTTACGCTGTACTTGAAACTTTTCTGTAAGATTAAGATTGTTTAAAAAACCACATTATAAGCTCACTGTTGTGTTCAAATGGTTACCAAAAAAAGGCAAGAAAAGAATCATTACGTTTATCTACTAAACAATACAAAAGTCAAGTAGCTTCCCTGGGTTCACTTTCTTCTATAAAACATGGGGGTTGGATCGAATTATCTTTACTCTTCCTCCTATTATGAACATTTTTTTTCTTATGGGGAGGATGGAAGAGGCAGGGATGGCCAATTTACAGAATGCTGTTCTCATCTTCCCTCAAAAACATCTATCTGCACGTTTGTGGACAAACACAACTCAATTCACTGTCCCAGCTGTGGGAAAAGCCTCACCGTCCAACCACAAGAGAAGGTCCTAGGGCTTCCCTGGTGGCGCGGTGGTTGGGAGTCCGCCTGCCGATGCAGGGGACGCGGGTTCGTGCCCCGGTACGGGAGGATCCCACATGCCGCGGAGCGGCTGGGCCCGTGAGCCATGGCCGCTGAGCCTGCGCGTCCGGAGCCTGTGCTCCGCGGCAGGAGGGGCCACGGCGGTGACAGGCCCGCGTACCGCAAAAAAAAAAAAAAAAGAGAGAAGGTCCTAGTCTATTTCACAAGCTAGTCCGCCCATTTTTTGTTGCTGTTGTTCTCTTATTCTCAGGTTCAGTCAAAGGCTGTATCCATCTCCAAGCCTTTAAAAACCCTCCTGCTGAACTACACTTACACAGTTTCTAGTACGGAGAGGACTTTTCACTAGTCCAAATACTTCTGTATAGGTTCTCATTTGTTCCTCCCAACTACTGATTGACACGGTGTCATCCTCATTTTACAGATGTAAAACATTTCCGGACAGAAATCAATGGCTTATTTAAGGCTAATATGTCCAAAACAGAACTCCTGATTTTAAACTCCACCCCTGTTCCTTGCTCAGTCATCCCCATTTCCCCCTCGGTTACCAAACTTCCCCAATCTAGGCACCATTCCTGATTTCTTTCCCTCAACCCTCATGTCCAATTCACTGGCCAGTCCAAAGTATCCTGAACCATTCACTGTTCTCCATCCCCACTGCTAATCAGACATTACTTTTCCCTTGAAAACTCTGCCCCCGGAGTGCTTTCTCTTTGCAGAACTTGGTTCTGGTTGGCTTAGCTCAGGAAGTCCCTAAATATTAGCTGCTGACCTTCTCCTCTCTCCCTCTTCTTCAGTGATGATTCTGAGCAAAGTCTTCTGAATGCTCACCACTCTAATTTAGGTTTTCTTTTTTTTTTGGGGGGGGGACGCTGTGCTGTGCAGCATGCGGGATCTTAGTTCCCCAACCAGGGATGGAACCCGTGCCCCCTGCAGTGGAAGCAGTGGAAGGGTGGAGTCTTAACCACCTGACTGCCAGGGAAGTCCCCTCTAGATTTCAAGAAGCGAAAAATAACGTTATTTGCTGGCCTCGTCTGAGGGCAATTCTGCTGGTAGTATGTGAAAAGGCCTCTCAAAATCCCTTGGAAATCAAGGACTGATTCTGTGAAAAGTAAAAGTAAAGACTTTGAGAAAAACAAAACACTGCAGGAAACACATCACTGCCACTACCATCAACAACAAAGTTGATCAAGTCATATCTCTCGTTACATAACTATTGGCTAATAAAATAAAGCTTATATCTATATGATATTGTTGATTGGCTCAAAATGCTGCCTGAAGGCCAAGCCCCAGGGTCGGCCAATCACACAGCAAGCTACCTTCAGAGGCCTTTCAGAGACAGTTAACAGGTTTCCTGGATAGTCTATGAGGGTATCCTGTTTCAAGACTCTGGGTATTTCATTGAGCTGCACATTGCAGTAGTGAGTCGGAAGTGTGTCACTAACTCAGACATAAAGATTGGAAAGATTAGAGTATCACCTTGGATGTGTACTAGAGCACATCAGCTGTAAGGACTAACCAGTGTGTGTTTTCCGAATCAGCAGTCAAAATGATATTATAACACTTTAATAGTGTATTAGGACTTAAGGTAGAAACTCTGTGTGTGTGTGTGTGTGTGTGTGTGTGTGTGTGTGTGTGTGTGTGTGTGAAAGAGAGAGAGAGAGAGAGAAATACCAGGCAGAGATCATGCACAAATTAAATGGTAACAACTAGATTTGACATGCCTATAGTGCAACTCCTAAGGAATAATGCAGCCAGATGACCTAGAGGATTCTTTCCAACTAACTCTTTACAGTCGATCAAAATTCAATCAACTCCTGATTTTTGTACTAAAGAAGTAAAACAGGAAATCCCCAAATTACAACTACTTGACTTCACGATACACGACATCATCTATTTTTTAAAAACTGCATACTTATCTTCTAAATAATATAAATTAATCACTTAAACCAATGTTAAAATAAATTTGGCACAGATCAACTAATGGTAGAAACTGGATGACACTCAGAAGTTGGACAGGAGGGGAAACCAGCCTAGAATTTAAAATTTCCCATGGACAGTCCCCATATGGATAATTAAGATATGACGGTGTGGGCAAATTTATCATTAGATTTAACGCCCTGAAAGAGCTCCCCTATTTTGTGGTGGTTGTTACTGAAGGTGAAAAAGGGGAAGCGGTTTGCTGGAGTAATGCAGGAATTAATGTGAGAAACAGAATGAGAAAGAAATCCACAAGTCCTTGGCTCAGGTTGAGGAAACCAACCCACTGTACCATGCCTCCTATTCTGCAACCAACAGCTCCTAAATGACGTCTTCAAAGTTCTGCAGAAAGAGGAAACAGCCAAGGGATCACAACAGTGAGCGGAAGCGGCGGGGCTGCGGCATATGTGGAAGCATTTGTCTTCCAATTAACTATTACTTTCTTTTCAACTAAACTCCAGCTTTCAGTCTCAGAAAAAAAATTCCTACAGGCAAAACCCGTTCAGATGGTCAAATCAGGAGGCCGTGCTCCATCTTACCAGATTTCCTACAGTCAAGACATGTTCGAACTGTGGCGTCATAGGATGGTGCTCCATTGCCATAAACAGCGTATTCAGGACGATGCAGATGGTGATGGCCAAGTCCACAAAAGGGTCCATGACGATCAAGTTCACAATCTCTTTCAGCTTTATCCAGTAGGGGTGACACTCCCAGATGAGGAAAGTGTTGGCAAATTTATACCAGCACGGCGGGCACTTTCTCTGAGACTCTTCCAGCTCTGTAGTGAGTAGAGAACAAAGGTAGCCCCTCAGTCTTGGGAAGAAAACAAAAGGGTTGGACTTGGTGGGTATCACTGCTATTAACACAAGAAGGAAGGTGGCCAGGGAGTGCTGACTTTCCTGAGGGCTTCCCTCAGTTTTCCTTCTCTTGAAGGCAGAGAGGAGGAGGCATGACCAGTGCCAGGTCACATCCCAGTTAACAAGGATCTAGTTAGAAACAAAACTCAATCCACCCGTTTGGGAGGCATAGCAACCCTGGTTCAACTGGCTTCCACACTCACGAGTGTATGATCTCAGGCAAGGTACTGCGTCCTCTATGCTTCCGTTGCCTCATCTAAAAGGGCACTGACTTGCAGGCTATAGGACTAAATGAATCCTATAATCCTCCTCCATTGCTTACAGATAGCACACAGCACAGGGCCTGGCACGAGGTAAGTCCTCAATAAACGGTAGATATTTTATTACACATGGTATGATTAAACTATTTATTATCAGAGAAGCAGTCAAAAGCACACACACTGAAGCCAGACATATACGGGCGTAACCAGCTCAGGCAGTTGCTAACTGTGGGCCCTTGAGTAAATTACTTCAGTTTGCTGCAACAATTAAATGAGCTAAAACATATATAAAGTGCCTCAGAACACCCCAGCATACAGCAAGTGCTATGAAAGCATTTGCTATTGTTGTTTATTTTCTTTACAGCAGAACCAGCATTGTCAACCAAGCCACCACGTGGACCGTCTGTCTTAGGTTCTCAAAGATGTATGAGTTCACAATGTGAGTCTGCAATGCAGTCAGGAACAGAGGTTGCATTCCTTCCCCTTTGCTCCTTCCTTCCTCTTTCTCATCTCTGCTCTTCTCTCTTTCTCCTTCTCTTGCCCTTTCACCCTTTCCCACTCTCATCCTTTCTTTCTCTATCTTCTTCGTCTCCCCGTCCCTCAGTCTCTTTCTTCTTTCCTTTTTGTTTCTCTCTTCTTTTGTCTTCGTCTCTTTAGTCTATCCCTCTTTTAAAAGCAGGACCCATTTTTTCAAACAAGATCTTATGTGACCCCCAATATGTAAAACAGACAAACCAGGAGCTGCTCTAGTTTAGGCAGGAAAAGGAGCTTGGAGTCCAGGGCAATCCAAGGCTTCCTTCCCTGAGGTACTACCCCAGGGTCCTAGGACTCTGATAAACCCAGACTGACAATCACTGGACTCGATGAGCTCTGAGGTCGTTTACAAAGCGAAGACTAGAAAGGACAATTAGACACTAAAGGCGGAGAGCCATTCAGCTCCAACAATCTAGGCGCGAGGCCCTCGGTAACAAAGCCCTCCTCAAAATTCAGTATGAAATATAATAGCCAGCACCACAGAAGTCCAAGGACCTTGATCTGGAAGGATGTTCTTGAAGAGGGGTAACTTTGAAAACCCATCAGCATGATAACCCTTAGAGGCCAGGTCTTGGCTCTGTGGGGTTGGATAGAACTGCATCCGCTACCACCCTGGCCCCACTCAAATCCACTAACAAAATCAAGTCATTCAGGGAATAGAGAAAAAGTTTCCCGACATTTCACGAAGAGCAAGATGGCTGCTTTAAATCAGTCTACTTTCCCTTTTTCCAACCAGCCGGTTGGTGCCCATGGCGATGGCTCTATTTTAGATGGGGTGCTTTGGTTGGGCTTTTAATTGGCTCCCTGGTTGCTAAGAAAATGGTTGCCTTGGTTTTTCAGATTTAAGGGCCACAGTAAGCGACACGTGGGAGTCTGCGTGGGAAAGGAAGTCTGTGAAGAAAATTTGCTTTGGTTTCTTCCTCATAGAACTCCCTCCCTTCCCAAGGTAAATTTAGTCTTCTTCCCAAAAAAGAAAATTGAAAAGGTTCTCTCATTTCCATGAATTCTTATAGTACATATTTGGAAATCTGGTTCCGTTCCTTTTTTTACCTCCTCCTCTCTCCAAATGTCCGCTGTTCACCTGCACGTGGAGGTTGAAGCAGCGGACTGTTCACGTTTCTAACAGTTGACAACTGTAATGTTTTACAAGGAACTAGGCTCCGAGTCCTTGCCAGACAGACAAGGGTAGGGTTTCCCTACCCTGTGGGGCACCGAAAAGGGATACTAGATATCTAGTATCCCTGCCATTTACTGAGAGGGGAAGATCCTCAGGATACTCGTTTCCGTTCCACAAAAACTAAGACGATGCGGAGCCTTAGGAGCGAGAAGAGATCAGTTAGGTGAATAAGGAGGTTTATGAAGGGACGCACAGCTCTGCACACCGTTACTGGCCCTACACATCCACAACAGCAAAGTCTGGGCAAATGTGTTAACATATGGGGGTGAGATGTCCAAAAGTTAGTTTGCTCCTGGACATTTTCAGAGAGAACCTTGGGGGCACTGGGAATTGTAGTCTCAACCTTGGGGGCACTGGGAGTTGTAGTTTCAACCTTGGGGGCACTGGGAATTGTTTTCAGAGAGGGCCTCATGATTCCTCCAAGATGGTGGCCTTTGTAGACCAGGAGGTTTCTGAAGGCCAGGGCTTCTCCCAGGTCAATTCAACAACGTGCTAGGCACTGGGACTGCGTTGATGAACAAGAATCGCCACCCTCACAGAGCTTATAGCCGCACCTGGAAAGGCAGACACCAGGTAAGTAATTGCACTGACACTTTTGAAACTGTTTCACCTGAGAATCAATAATGCTAAATACCATCACTGCTTCCTCATTCTTACTTCAACTCTCTCCCCTTCTCCCATAGCTTTACTGCTTTGAGGAGAAGTAAGACCACATTACTCTCTGCCGACACCCCATGCCCCGTCCTCTGAAATATCCCCAAAGCTTACGGCTCTGCTGATTGTGAATTCCGCTGAGTTTATTGGATCCTGGTGAGCATGCTTGCGATAGGATAGGGGTGAGGCAGAGCAGGCAGGATTATCTCATTATTTGTAGGATTATCTCATTATTTACAGGATTCTGGAATTCTCCACTGTGGTTTCTAAACCATTAGATAAGAAGCCCGCTTCTTTGGATTAAAATAATGTCAGAGTTTCCTAACTGAAGGCTGAAAAGCAGAAACAAGTATTCATTCAGTGTTGGCTTTCCATGTTGTAGCAATTGTTAGATACAGAGGGAACAGTGGTTACATAGGAATGGATCTTCCTTAACGTCCTTTAATTCTCTCACATCATTCAGCTCCAGCCATTCACTGTCCTTTGATTACAGCAGTTCTGTCTCATCCGCTTTAGCAAAGGGAGTCAAATCCTACTAAGCCCTCCGAAAGGAATCCTGGAGCCCCAGCACTCCTCCCCAGTTCCAAGCACAACAAGATTCAGTTCTGTACACATTTTTTGAGCATCTACTTTTGCCAGACCCTGCACTAGGCCACCGGGGTAACCAGTAAATCACTGTTGCATTGAATGGATAGCTCTGCTCTGATGTTTTTACCAGGAATAAAACAGGCCTGTTGGAGGCTGTTCGTCTTTCTTTCTCAACTGCTACAGATACTCAGAGAAATCTTGTCTTGGTCTCCAAGTGAAGAATAAAATTTGCTAAGGTTCTTAAGCTAATATTGATATATCTTATCTTGGAATTCTTATGATCTGCAGTTACTTACCTGTTATCTCAAAGTATAAACTATAAAGCTTAAAGATGTTCTATCAGACAATGACCTCAATGGGAATTAAAGAAAACAGGACAAATGAAGCTGTTCTGGAGCTGAAAAGTAGTTAGTTCAGTATCCTTTTTACGTGATACACCTCAAGATTAGTCTAGGTTTAGTCTAACTCCTTGCCCATACGTGCAGGGGAGTTTCGGGTTCCCTTCTAGGGATTCTCCTTTCACCACAGATGCCCCTGCCCATCTCTCTCTCTCTCTCGCTCGCTCTCTTTCTCTCTCTCTCTCTCTCTCTCTCACACACACACACATACACACACACACACACACACACACACACACACACAGACTAGAAGTGGTATGTGGCTTAAATGACTCAAAAAAAAAAAAAAAAAAAAAACTTGTTCCAAGGACACCAGAGTAATTTGAGTCTCCTTATCTCAGGGACTCTGATTATTACTGGGTTAGCCTGGGTGTGTGGATTCTGCAGAACGGCAATCAGGAACAGTACAGTACGGATCTATAATGGGACAACTCAGCTAAATCAGCATGAATCAGGTGAAGAAGAAGTATGCAGAATCAATCAGAATCTTGTGAGAGAAAACCTGGTCACTGAATCTACTGCCAAAGAAATCAAGAGGAGCCTGGAATACAGACCAGAGTCGGACAGAAAGCTGACAGTTGCGAGGGAACTGCAGTGTAATGGGAAATCCTCAGCAAGCCAGGCTGTGTCACGGAGAAGCCACCTGCTACGGAGTTCAGGCTCTGACGGCTACGCTGCTGCAGGCACGCTATGATTCAACAGCGGCTGCCCTTCCCCCGGGCACAGAGCGCCAGCGTTAGAGGGGTTTCAGCTTACCTGTTCACTCGTGCAATGTATTTATGGATGTATGGGGGTGTTTAAAGTGAGGCAGAGTTAGGTATAATCACAATGCACGGTACACTTGTCCTTAAGGGAAAACCAAAAGACCTGTAAGTAGCTAAAAAGGAAGAGAGGAAGGTAAGTTTTGTGGTCGAGGGCAGGAGGGGGGGTTCCATCATTTTCTGTCATCACAGTTCTTCCGTCTCTGTTCCTCTCTGCCTCACGTCACCCTACTGGCTCCTCATGGTGCTGATTACAGAGACTTCTTGAGGTCCTCTAGCTCGCTCTTATGTTGTTCCTTCATACTTCTTACCTATCTGTGTACAGTGCTGGCAGCGGCTTTGAAGTCCTTCCTGGATTCTCCGCGTGTAGATCTGAAATGCTGGTTTCTATAACCAGGAATAGAGCAGACTCTATTCCTAAAGCTGAGACAATTTTTGCGCAACTCAGCCCAAGGGACTATATTTATATTATCATGCACACCACATATTTATAGCTCAGCAGCTTGGACCAGCATCACAAGGCACATACCTTCTACCAGTGTATTTGTAACAACGCTCAATATACTGTTGATCCTGTCCTTCCGCCCATAGGAGGCCAATTGGTCCATGGAAACTAAGAGAGATCCAGGGCCTTTCTTCTTAATTTCCACCTCGGTTGTAGCCTGAAAAAAACAGCAAGTTGGGTGAGTAGAGTCTTATCAACGTCAAGGCTGGGCCTTAGCGGATATAGTCTAGAGTGAGCGAGAACCTATGCTCTTCCTTAGATCTTTCTACTTTGATCCTACAGTCCTATTCGCCTCAAGGAGTAGAATGAAACGAGTTGGCCATGGATCATCCTTAGTTCCACAGATGACAAGACCAAGTCGTTTAAGTGTGTATAAAATCTACAGTGAACCCAAGAGTCTGGCTGGGATCCAAATACATCATCTGCTCCATGTACGCAGAGAGTAGAAAGACCAGATCCCCTGGGAAAATGCCATCAGAAGCAGACCCTCCTGTCCTCCTCGCATATCCACAGCATTTGGCTAGAATTGGACCACATGATAAAATAAGTCAAATTCACCTGTACGTGAAATTTCACGAAGGGCCAGGTGCCTGATCACACTGAGTATTACAGACACGGTTTCCTTCACTTGTAGGAGCACCAGCATTCTACCAAACTGTCACTTCCAAATGTCAAAACTGGGCCTAACTGAACGTTAGCAAGTGGAAGTTCTACTCCAAATCTCCTCCAAGCCACTGCAAACAAGAGTGGTAGGTTTTGCCATCTTAATTAAACACATTGCCTCATATGTCTTGTTACATTTATCTTGTTTTTTACATTTTTATTTTATGAGTTAACCTGAAATTTTCGAATTCCCAACTGAATAAAAAGGGCAGAAAACACCATCAGACTGTTAAACAAAATATTTTTTACACGCTCCTCCTCGGGCGATACCAGTATGGTAGATTACAGCAAAGGGTTTCTGAATGTCCCTAGCTTGCGCTGTTTGTGCCAACCTGAATATTCTACATCAGATCAGGCTTAATGGGGTGGCTTAAAACCTAGCTTTCTAGTTAACCATGCTGTACTGTAACACGTCAACCATATAAACTTAGCTGCTCCTTCCATGTGAAGGTAAGAGGACGGAGACAGTCACCACAGGACAGGGAAGACATGTGTTTGTATGAAGCTAGAGAAGTATCTGTCTGATCAGTGACAGTAAGTTTTGAAAAGAAAATAATCATCTCTGGAGAGTTACATCAGAAAGCCTTTCTATTCTTACATATATTTAGATTTTAAGAACTGTACTGAAGAAAGTTCCGGGCAGATTACAATTTATCCCATCATGGTGTTTTATCAAATAGTTCCACTGATTCAGAGATTTGGTTTACCTTAGGGTTTTGTTTGTTTTGTTTTGTCTGTCTGGCAGAGCTACAGAAGAAATGGAAAAGAAAAAGAACTGGTTTCCTTGGGAATTCCTGGATGCATTACTATACAAGCATCTGTATTTGTAAGAATGACTTAACCATTAGCTCAGGTCATGATACAGTATATTTCTTTGAGAAATCACTTTTTGCTACAATTCCCAGACTGATATTCATGACATTTAATAAATGAGATTAAACTACTATATTTAAAAAATGACAGGACTTCCCTGGTAGCGCAGTGGTTAAGAATCCGCCTGCCAGTGCAGGGGACACGGGTCCAAGCCCCGGTCCGGGAAGATCCCACATGCCGCGGAGCAACTAAGTCCGAGCGCCGCAACTACTGAGGCTGTGCTCTGGAGCCTGCGAGCCACAACTACTGAGCCCACGTGCCACAACTACTAAAGCCCGCTTGCCTAGAGCCTGTGCTCCGCATCAAAGAGAAGCCACCGCAATGAGAAGCTTGCACACCGCAACGAAGAGTAGCCCCCGCTCATTGCAACTAGAGAAAGCCCACACGCAGCAATGAAGACCCAACGCAGCCAAAAATAAATTAAAATAAATAAATAATTAAATTTATTTAAAAAAATGACAATCATCTAAAAATGAACACAGAAGTCCCAATACAATGGACATTCTTATTTCTGACATTTATTAATTCTAGATTTTTATTGAACTGCCCTTCCGCAAATCTACAATAGATAGATTTTATAATGCTGACCCCCGAGGTACTGGAAGATCTAATGGACTGGCTGGTTTATCAAAGAAGGATGAAACTGCACTTAATATGGCTTTGGTATTAGTGTAGCTTACTGTCTTTTGGGCATGCTGGATGTAATAAGATATAAATTCTTCAGGCTTTAATAACACCAACCTTAAAAAACAAAATTAATGAAAATGCTATCTAAAAAGACCCAGTCAAATCATTATATTATCATTTGTTGACACCTATTCACAACATAAAACGATTTTTAGCTTGGATAAAAAAATCCACAAAAATTAAAGAAAAATTTATCCCCAAACTTAATATTAAGATGGAACAATTACAATTTATCTCTTTCTATGTAAAATGAAAGTAAACTATAGCAGGGCTATGTGGAGACAACTTCTGAAATATTAAAATTTGTTCCATAATCCATAATGTGTTATAGAACTATAATCTATACTGTACAATTGCTTAACTTTTAAAAAAGAAACAAATGAAAGAAGATGCTGAGAAATGAACATTTCAAAGCCCATACTTAGGAAATTCTAGAAGGTAAAAAGAGAAATCCATTAATTATCTTTTTACAAAGGCAAGAGCATTTAGCATAGATCCAAATAACTGGTTCCATCAAATGTCTTGGTAATAATAAGATATCCAGAAAAATTCCCACATATTTGTAAATGAAACAACAGACTTCTAAAGATCTGTGAATCAAAGAGGTTTGCACAGGGAAATTTAAAAAATACTTTAACTGATGACAATGAAAACACAATACATCAAGATTTATGGGATGAAGCTAAAGAAATTGTTAGAGAAAATTTTACAGCTTAAAAAAGATATAAGATCAATGCTCGAAGCTTCTGCCTTAAGAAACTAGAAAAAGAGGATCAAATTAAGCCATAGGTAAGTATATGAAAGGAAATAATAAGAATGGAAATTAATGAATTAGTAAATGGACAAACAATAGACAATCAAAAAAGGTCAAATGCTGGTTCTTTAAAAAGATTAATAAAATTGATAATTCCCCAGGCAAGACTGATCAAGAAAAAAAAATAGAGAAAACACAAATTATAATTTTCAGGAGTGAAAAAACAGGATATCACTATAAATCCTATAGACATTATTAAGATAATAAGGATATGTTGTGAATAACTTTATGCCATTTCATCTTGGATGAAACAAACATATCCAAACACAACTTATAAAAACTGACATAAGAAGAAATAGAAAATCTAAATAGCCCATATTAATTCAAGAAATTATAATAAAAAATCTTATCACAAAGAGAACTCTAGGCCCAGATGGGGCTCCATAAGTGAATTCTGTCAAATGTTTATGGAAGAAATAATACTAATTTTACACAAATTCTTTCAGAAAACAGAGATTAAGAGAATACTTCTCAACGTCTTTTATAAAGCGAACATAACCCTGATACTAAACCTGACAAGAACATTACAAGAAAAGAAAATTAGAGATCAGTATCCCCCACCAACAGAGATGTGAAATCCTTAACAAAATATGAGTAAATAGAATCCAGCAATATATACAAAGGACACTACATCATGACCAACAGAGTTTATCCCAGGAAAGCAAGGTTAATTTAATACTAGGAAAAAAGTCAGTGCTATTCATCATGCTAACAGAATAAAGGAGAAAAACCATACGATCATCTCACAGATGCAGAAAAAGAACATTTAACAAAATTCAACACCTCTGCATAAAAATAAAATTCCTCAGCAAGCCACAAATACAATGTAGCAGTTTCAGTCTGACAAAGATCATCTATGAAACCTATAGCCAACACCATGCTTCTTGGCGAAACATTAAATCCTCTTCCTCTAATATTGGAAACAAGGAAGGATGTACGCTTTCATCAGGTCTATTCAATTTTGTATCTAAAGCCTTAGCTAGTGCAATAAAGCAGGAAAAATAAATGAAGAGCATAAAGATTGCAGTTGCTGTTACTCACAGAAAATATTACTGTGCATGTAGGAAACACTATGGAATTTACCCAAAAGAGCCAAACAATAAAAAACCCTCCAAGGCTAATAGAACCAATATATTAATTTATCAAGGTCATGAGATATAATGTTAATATACAAAAATCAACTGTATTTCTATATTCTGGCAACAAATAATTGAAAATAAAAATTTTAATTATACCTTTTACAATAGTATCAAAAAATATCAAATACCAAGGAAAAAAAATCTAATGAAAGATGTCTAAGACCCCCACTAAAAACTATACAACTTTGCTGAGAGAAACTTGAGAAGACTTAAATCAATGGAGAAATGTACCACATTCATAGTTTGGAAGACTCAATATAATTAACATGTCCATTCTCCCCAAAGTGATCTACAGATTCAGTACAATCACTACCAAAATTCTGTGTTTTCTGAAAAAACATATACATATATTTATGTATAAATTTTTGTGTGAACACCTGTTTTCCTGGGCATATACCTGTGAGTAGAATCTCTGCGTCATCTGATAACTCTATGTTTAACTTTATGAGGAGCTGCCAAACTGTTTTCCAAAGTGTCTGTACTATTTCACTTTCCAACCAGTAATGTTGGCTATTGTTTCTTGTGTCAGACTATGACCAGTTGAGGGGAAGAAAACCTGGAGCAGACTCTTCATCGTCACCTTCCACCTAGAATCTGCTTGGGATTCTGTGAGGTATGTCTCTACTATTGGCTCAGCTGCCCAATTCTCATCACCTGGAAGGTGGGAAGGAGGTGTCTTCCTCCAAGCATGCTGAGACCCAAGGACCAGAGGAAAGATCACATACTCATTCTCTCCCCTCCCTTATTTCTTGGGGTCATCTTTTGGGGGGGCGGGAGATGAAGGTGTATATTTTTATTTGTTTCATTTTCTTTCATTTTGTTGGGGAGGGAGGAGGAGAATTAACAACTTTTTAAAGTCAGGAGCTCTCTGCCTTTTAAAAATTCAGCCCCTAAGGAGCCTTGGTGCAAAACTATCAGTAAGAGAGGAAGCCATTGAGAACCTTAATTACTTTAAACCCAATACAAATTTGTTGCATTTCTCTTAACTCAAACACAAAGTTTATTAGGCCACTGACTTCCAACCTCCTAAATTGTAGCTGTCCTTCTCAAAGAGATATTCTACCATGTCTGCAGATGGCAGGTTCTGCCCACATTTCTATAGATCTATCCAAGGAATCTCAACTTGTTATTGATTCTGAACTGCTTTCACAAGGAAATACATAACTGGCAACTTACCAGCCAGTCACCTTTCTTGGGACTAAAATTTAGAGCATTTTAGAAGTGGGCTTAGGACCCAGCCATTTATCTCCTGTTTCAAGCCTTTCTAAAATTTTTGCGGTATTCTGCTTTAAAATACTGTACAATAATTTCTCCTTCTCAAAGGATCTTTGGAATCTTAGAAGAAATCCGACCCTCTCCAAGTCAAGCGATTCAGCAGAAATCCCACTGTCTACTTCTCAGGCTACAAAGGCCAAAAAAGTATAGGGAAAGGAATGGAAACTGGCTTTCTGAATACCAAGGATGGGCCAAGTAATATGCTTCACATTTTATAAATGTTATTACATTTAATCTTCAAATAGCCCTATAACAACGGTCCTTTTTATCTCTTTTTTACAGATAAGGAAATGGGCTTAGAGATGCTCATTTTTCAGGATCACTTGAGTAAATAAAGAACCCGGGCTTTGTAGTTAGCATAGCATAATGGTTAGTGGTTAACGCTGTGGAGTTTGATTGTCTGGATTCAAATCCTAACTCTACTGCTCACTGTGCAATCTTGGACAAGTTGCTTTATTTCTCTAAGCCTTGGTTTCCTCCTCGTAAAATGCACACAATAGTAGTATCTAACTCAGAGGGTAGGAGCTGTGAGCATGAAATGAGATAATGCTTTGCATTTACAACATGATTTCTGAGTTATGTGTGTTTTTGGATGGTCAGTGGCACCTGCTTCCTTTACGAGTGAAGAGCAATGATTTTCCAGCTCAGAGATGAAGACATGGGGAAAGTCCCCTTATCCTCTGCTTCAGCAAAACGCAAAAGTTCTCAAACTATCAAAAAATTATCACCACTCAATCACAACTGAATAATTAATGAAGATGTGAAATAGTTTTTGATGAGATTCTAATGAGGTGATGTCTGGATGTCTTTTTTTCATAGGGAATATCATATTTCTTAATTTGAGCCTAAGGAAAAAAAAATACAGATGTGGCATAGCCCAAGCATTAATGTTGTGTGAGATCAGCTTATGGACCATCAACGGCTCCTACACCAGTCCATAAAGCGTGAGTATGTAACTGGAAGCACTCTGATGGTTCAGGCGAGGACAAGTTCATCTGTAGCTGCAGACGCATCCAAAACGTTTTGACAGTGAGAATCACTATCTTCTCACCCAAAGAGGCATAATAATTGCTCACTTGGCCCAGGCTGCATATAACATTATGAATATATTAATTCCTTCTAAGAGAAATGACTTTTCCTACTTCCCAAATAAGCAGTCAGGAAGTTCTCTTGGCGTCAGGAAGACCTTGGTTCCATTTCCACAAGTCACTAAGTCTCTGAGTCTATCTGTTGATTGGATAAAACCACCTACTGAATGGGGAAGTTATAAGAATTAAATGAGATCATACATATAAAGGTGCTTAGCATAGTGTCATCAGAACTCAGTCTACGGCAGCTATAAGTATTAGGCCCATTGTAGAAAACTAGAAAGAACAGAAAAGTGTTAAGGAAGGGAAAAAAAGTCACTCATAATTTCCCCTTCCAAAGGCAGCTACTGTTAACTTTTAGTCAGTCATCTTTTTTCTATATGCAGTTTGTCTTTATATAGATGATATCACACCACACAAACTATATGCATTCTGTTATTGTTTTGTTTTGTCTTTTTGGCCTATTAATGTAACTTAGATATTTCCCCACACCATTAACCACTAGGAGGTGCTTCTTTATGGCTTCTAACAAAATAATTTTTCCTCGTTATGAAGCCCCTGGGAATGATACAGTCCTACCTACCTCATCTTCCTGCCACTTTGGGATCTGACCTCTTGGCCTTGGGAATCCTCAGGTCGGTCACCGTCATCACTTGGGGCCACTGCAAAGCATCTCCTAAGTGCTTACAGGGTGTTGAGTGTGCAGGACCCCCAAAACCCCAAAGGCAGCGTTCTGTCAGCCACAACGTAAGGCAGCGCAGACAGCCTTACATTCCACAGCCATCTGCTCACCTGCCTCTCAGATTTACCTCCCACACAATATAACAGAAGCTGCTAAAAAAACAAAAACAAAACCCGCAAACCCGCTCAGCTGCCTTTAAGCTGAAGCTCAAGCTCCTTCTTCCTGGATACCTTTTCTAATACCTTCTCTTCAAAGAAAAAGCAAGATATATTATTTCGCTTCAATATTTTTTAAAACTGCTAGGATATCAAAATTTACTTTTGTTTTCAACATCTGAATTATGCCCACTGTACTGTCCAGGCTGATCCACCCCTCATTCTCATCATCTCTTGTTTTATTAGAGAACATAATTATCTATCTAATTACGGAGCCAAAAAATTTACATCTAGACATAGAACCAGTGAAGATCAAAAAATTATATTTCAAGTAAAGACAGTCACTCATAACATTTATTCTGGCCAACCACCTAGCTTGCAGGGGGCGTTGGAGACACCGTTTGTTATCATTATTGTACCTATTACGCTTGATCTGAAACAAACAGTTCTCCAGAAGAGCAGTGGCCACGTGACTAGGCGGAGAAGACATGAAAATTAACTGAGAAGCAGAAGACTGAGGTTTCTGAAAGGTCTGTCAATGATGAGCTGTGTAACCCCAAGGAGTACAAACTCACTGAGCCTGTTTCCCCATCTCAAAAACAGGAATAATCAGCTCCATTTTGTCAGCCTTATGGAATTTTTATTCGAAACAAATAAAGCATGCAGAAGTAATGTGTACCTTGTAAAGAGCTACACAAACATAAGGGGGAAAACATTTTGCTTTTAAATAAAAAGTCAGGAAGAGGAAGGACAACGTCAAATATCCTAACTGTCTTTTGAATTTAGGGCAGTCAACAACTGTCCTAAAGTGCTAAAAACAGATCACTCTGAATAATTCCATCCTTGATTGTCCAATTTTCCTCCACACATGCAACATGCTAATGAAAGGGCTGGCTATCTTCATGCTGTGTTAGAGGAAACCGAAGTGTTGCAACAAAACAGACCGACATGCTATCTCAAGAAGCTGAGACCGGCTAAGGAGGGACTGAGGAAAGTTAAGGAACTAGAGGTAGAAAGGATTAGGATCACTAAGGTTATAAGAATTTAAAACTAGAAAAAAAGGTATAAACATCTTAGAATCTAAAGAAATGTTAAGGGATGGCTTTTCCCAAAGAGGCGAGCCATTATCCTAGCCCCTAGACAAGCGATTTTGTGAAGCTATGATATACAGCTCCTCCAGAGCTTGACATTTGATTACATTTAAAATTCATCTTTCACTTCCCTTTTCCTTCCTCCCCCATATACCATGTGTTCTTGCCCTGACCACCTACCTTCCCCTCCTTCGATTTATTTCCATCTCAATCCCTTTTAAATGTCTAGGTCCAGTTCCCCACTGGTTTCCTTAACCTCTCCTTGCCTGGCTCTCCCAGTGCCTACTTCCTACCCTCAGCATCACCCATGCACATTCCTCTTTGGAAAAAGAGGAAAAATCACATCTCACTCTTGTAGAGGAGACTAAGAAAAGTATTCAAAGCTATGTTACTTTTTTTTTTTTTAAATAGGAAGACAAGAGCTTTAAATTCCAAGTTGTTTCCTACGAGGAGGGAGGACGTAGGGGGAGAGAAGCAATGATAGTTCCAAACCCGCTCAGACTTGGTCACTGGTGACGGCAGAGGCCCTTCTCATTCCATCCGGGCAGGATCCTCTGGCCAGAGGCATTCAGTCAAAGCAGGTGTGGGAAGGAAAAGAGATAAGCAGGCAGAGACGTGCAGAGACGGAGAGAGAGAAAAAGGGATAAAATAAAGGAAAGAGTTGATGGGGAAAGGGCCAGAGTCAGAAACAAGAAAGGAAGATGGGGGAAAATGGAGCAAGGAAAAAAGGGAAAACAGGGCGAGTAAAAGAGGAGGGCTGAAGAGAGAAATAGGAACAAACCAGGAGGGAGAAAACAGAAGTGGTGGGGGGGCAGGGACACGAGTTGGGATGGAGCGCGGAAGAGAGACCGGGTGGAAGGGACAGAGCAGGGAGAGAAGAGAGGAAGGGAGTGGGAGAGAAGGCCATGCCTAGCCTCGGTCTACTTTTTTACTTCCTTACACTGTCATCAGTAGCTGCCTTATCTATTTTCACCTCTGGCAGGAGACGCCCGCTGATGTGGGAGCCGGGGCCGCCGATGAGGGACACCACACCGTTGCAGTCCACCGTGCTGTTGCGCTTGACGCTGCGCCGCAGGCTGGGGAATATGCGCGAGGAGCGGCTGCCCTGGCTGTAGCCGCTGTAGCCGCTGTAGCTGCTGCGGCGCTCGCGGGCTCGGATGGGGATGAAGAGCGAGTCCCGGCGGCCCTCGCTCTCCTCCACCGTGCTGTGCTCGTCGTCCGCAAACTCGTTCTCGGAGCCCGGGTCCCGGAACCGCCCAGGCCCCCTGAAGCTGAAGATGCTGCTTTTGCTGTTGTGGCGGGACAGGAATGGGGAGCCCGGAATGCTGAGCAGTGACTGTAGGGGCAGGAAGAGAGAGAGACAGAGAGAGAGGCATGAGACAGGAAGGGGACCCCGCAGAGGCTGAACAAAGGCTGTCAGCTTCCCCAGTCTGGCCCCATCCTTGCATTCCTGTTCATCAGAACACAGGTGTTTCCAGAAAGCACTTCGGGATGTCGAATTTCTACTGCTTTTCAACACCCATCATTACTCACTTCTCCTTGCCCCATAACCTTGCGATACACCTGTCTTTGACCTGAAATACATTCAGTGTCTATTTCTCATTACTATGAGCTCACCTGGAGTGTGCCTTTAATCTACCAAGTTAGATTCTATGCCACACTTGGCAAAAGGAGAGAATTTAAAAGTGCCCAGTCACTTGCCACTCTCTCAATGGGTACCACATGCCCTAGAGGCTAAGAACTATGCCAATAGTTTTTTAGTTCAGTTGAAAATGGTATGTCCCCTCCTCCTCCATTTTAGTCAACGTTTTTTTCATGAGAAGTTTAAGTATTTGTAAATTATATAATTCCCAGCATTGACATTTTAAAGTCAAACTTGTATTTATCACTTAGAAATTTTTCATCTTTTTCTCCTTCAGCTCATACTTCCATTCCACCTGCCCTAGAGAATTTTATGCTAATGTATATTTTTATGCTTTAATGCATTTTACTGATCACCTTTCAATACTTTTCGGCAACAAAAAATTATAAATAAACTGTACTTAAAATTAAAAGAAAATTTTCCTGTGACCATGAGTCTCCAAGAAATTTAAAAACTTCTCCTGGATTGTGTTTTTATTACAATTCTCATTAATACAATTGATCACAAATATATTCTACATTTTATAAGTAATTACTAAGCTTAAAAAGAAAATTTTATTAAAATATATCTCAGTGAGATGAATTTTTTTTCTAATTAGTGTTTTGGTGTTTAAATATTTGTAGATAGTATTATTTATTATTAGAATCAAACATGGCTCAACAGAAACCCCTCTCTCCCTTCTAATATTATTTAGATTTTAAGTGCTGAGAAACCTTATTCATGTAAATGGTACAGAAGAATATTGTTATAAACAGTAATGTCATTCAATTCTTTGAACTCCTTCTAAGTTATACGCCAAAATTGCATAGTAAGCTATCAGCAAAATGTATCTTAATGATCTATCAGCTGACAATTAAATCAAGTCCTCTTTCAATTGTGTTGAAGGCAAAGAACTGAAAACCACCCAACTTGCCAAAGGACTTGTACCCAGTTGATAGAAGTATTCCACTTCCTGATTCCTGAGGATATCAAAAAGGCCTTATTTATTATTCACTAATAATTATATCGGTACCTCTTACAGGGGTTATTCTTTTACTTTAAAGGAACCATACTTAACCCAACAGAAAAGGCTAGAATAACCAAAATATTGTCAATTTCTATACATCACTGCCAACATTAATTTTTTAATACAATGATGTTATCACATGCTTTAAAGATATTTTCATCAAAACCTTAAAGCCACAGACTTAGCTCATTTAATTTACAAAAATGCCCACCATATGATCTAATTAGCAAAGCCAGTCCCCAATGTCAAAGCAATTGGCCAAATCAGACTTATTTTCATGGGAAAAAGTATGACTTCATTTTTAATTTTTAATAAATGTATTAATATGTATCCCAGGGACATCCATCTTGCTCCTGAACTTAAAACATCCCATTGCCCCTGATTATAACTCTATATTTCACTCTTATTACAAGTATATAAGAGAGAGGTAAATTCAGAAAGCCTTACAATGGGTTTGTTTCCTAGATTAAAGAAAACTTTTTAGACCCTAATATTTTCAACTGTCCCTTTGTTTCGCACCTCCAAAGATTTTTATATCTTAGGGCAATACACCACTTAGGATTTGGGATGAGAGAGAGGTATGCCTTCCTTTTGTAAAGTGGGAGAAGGCTGACTGTGAAAAGAAAAGTGGAAAAGAACTGGTGTGACTTTGGACCACAGGCCTCACCCTAGGCGTAGGAAAATGTAACTTAAAGATCTGGAAATCAAGTTCCTTAAAACTGTGCTTAGAAAGTCTTCAAGTACCCTGAGGGGATGCAATCCCAGTTTGAGGACCTCTGCTCTAAGAGAACAAAACCTGACAGACAACTGACCTCAGACAATCCTCCTTGCTACCCTGAGATACTCAGTTTGCCCAATTATGGCTTTGAAGGAATTTCAAAGTAACTTTTAGCTATATAAGATTTTTGCCTTAGAGTTTAGGCCTTACCCTTCTGGTAAAATGATTCCACTGTGAAAGTTCTTTGTGGGCTAGGACTCTGCCAATATAGTATACATATTAAAAGTGCTAAATAAACATTTTAAAATAATACTTTTGATGATAACCCTGGAATGGCTGTAGGGCTCCTCTTTAATATTTCTGCCCATATCTTTTTTTTACCTAGAACTCCACTTCTAGTTCTAGACTCAAAATGATCCCAGTTCCATTCTCTTCCTGTAATGTACAAAGCCCCCATGCCCAGGTGGGTACATTTTTTTTGGATGTTTCTAGTTTTATCATACTTCATTCTCTAACCTGTATTTCCCTTGTTATGTAGTCTCTTCTTGCGGTGGCTTGAAGCAACTCACAAATCTCTGAGATAATAAATGAATTTGATTACTGGAAACTGCATCAAGAAAACCACTTATCACAGATCATTTTACACAAATGTTACAGTTAAATACATACTATATGCTGTATGTAGACCTCTAAAAAATAGTATTCAGGTATGCAGCATCTCTGACCCCTTTCCTGATCACTCTGACTTGTTCTGCTCTTCTGCCTCATCCCTGCACCAGAGAGGAGGAGCTGCATGGATTAGATTCTAGAATGTTCACTGGGTCTCATTTATGAGTGGAGGGTGTCACTGTGTATTAAAAGGGCACATACATGGCCATGTTCCTTCTCCATGCTGTTGAGCTGGTAGAGGGGTCGGCGCCTCCTCCAGCTTTTTGCTTGCTATTCCTCATTTCACATATATGTTTGGGCACCCTCACTGATTCATTCCCCTGAACCATTCACAGATCGATGCTAGTATATAATCTGCTACTGGCTTGCAATGAGACAGTAAAAACCTGAGAGAAGCATTTAGAAATTTTAATAGCAAGTAGGCATTTTTACAACATCCAAGAATGTGATGATTTTTCTAGAAGGTTATTGCAATTATATTTTACAAGAGTATCATTCATGAAGAAATGGGAAAGACAAAAACTGGTCCTTCGCTACAGATAGTTTGAGAAACACTTCTCTAAACAATGTGGCTGGCCAGAAGATTTGTTAAGTGTTAGAACGTACCTATGAGTTTTGGTTTCTTTCTTTCTTCTTTTTTTAAATATTTATTTATTTAGGCTGTGCCGGGTCTTAGCTGCAGCATGCGGGATCTGGTTCCCCGACCAGGGATCGAACCCAGGGCCCCTGCCTTGGGAGCATGGAGTCTCACCCACTGCACCACCAGGGAAGTCCCACCTATGATTTTGTTTTAATCAGGTATGGTAAGGCGAGAGACACAGAGATAACTGCCTTTGAAAGAAGAGTTTATTACTTCCAGTTCCCAAAATAAGGGGGCATGGCATGCCGCACCATGTCATGCCGGGCCACACAGGGCCTCACGGGGGGCGGGGGTGGGTACGAGGGTCAGTCAGGAGGCAGGAGGAGCGAGGGGAAAAGCCTGGCCCAGAGCCTTTGCTGTGGAAGGGATGGGTGAGGCAGAGCAGGCACCTTTGAACAAGTTTAAAATTGGATAGTTTGAATAATTTCAAACAGGTTCCGGGCTATAGGAATGGTCCTGGCTCTGGAGTGATTTAGGGCACGGGAGATATTGGCTGGGTGTGTGAATTAGATACCAGGAGGTTGGGGATAAGGGTTTTGGACTGGTTGATCTGCACATGAAAGGCACACTTCCTGGCAAGTTGTTCGCTCTCTCTAGGAATTAAACTAGCGCCAAGAGGGGCAGCTCCTCCCAGCCAGCAAGGCTCCTAACGCGTCAAAGCCCCATAAAATACAGAAAATAAAAAACTGCCTCCCTTCTCACCGCAAGCTTCCCTGGACTGTGATTTTCACAAGGCCGACGTTGGGTGCTGACCCTACCTACTATATTAGGTCCCCATATTAGGAAAGAGGTTTGATTTTTATTTGATAAATGATCATTAAATACCTGTTGTGTGCTAAGTGATGTGGAGATAGTGGTGAACAAGACATATAACATGGTCCTTGCCCTCTCGAAACCTGCAGCCTAGTAGGAAATATTATGTACTACATGAGGAAATACTATATACTATATTAGATCTCATATAGTATATAATACCTGACTATTCTTAACTGATAGGAAAGTGAGAGGAAGTGATAGAAAGATAATGGCCAATTCAGTGACCCAGGAACACTTAGGAATCAGGATCCTGAGACAATACACACTAAAAGGAAACAGTTTATCTATTATCCTTTAATTCTTTGTTCCATTCTTGGCAAAAGAGTTGACTGCAATAAATGTGGAAGGGGAAAAGATGAACTTGTCCCATTTCTCCTTGTACCCCTTGTATCTAATCCTGATCTAGCCAATTCCCTAAGGAGACATACCCTGAGGGTAGCCCCTGACCCCCCAGTCTCAATTCTCCTGGACTGGAGGGTTTTAGTTATGACTCAGGACCCGTGGCTCTATTAACTCCTGGGATCCAGGCTAGTTTATGAGATAGGTCCTGTTTTCAAAATCTTTCCTGTCAACAGACCAGGAGCTTCTGGTCCTTTTCAGGCAGTCACATCACAGCTAACTAAAAATACTCCCTTAGATCTAGGTGTTTGCTTGGGAGAATAGCTCTGGGGTGTTCTTGGTTAGAGGGAGGAGCCCTCACACTACACAGAAAAATTAATTGGGAATTTCAGGGCATCCATGTCAGCTGTTTACTGGGATAAGGCTTAACAATGACTGGGATGTTTAGAATGTAATAAATTGATGATTTAAATGTCCTACTTCCATGCCATATTTCACCTTTTCTT